TTCCGAGCATCAACTCCGTAGTCGATTCTGGGCCACCATGATGCTCTTTGCCATGGTATCCATTTCACTGGGTTTTTTTTTTGAAGCTCTTAGAGTGACCTCTTACTCTGACATACCATCATGACTTTACCCCTCGTTATATACGTCAGGGTGGTACAATTAGTGAGCCTCCACAGCTACTCGCCACTTTTTAATCAAAGTCGATGATTGTGGTTTTGATTTTCCGTAAACAAATTTATTTTTTTGAAAGCTCATTAATTGAGCTTTTAAATGATACTAATAATGATAGGAAGGATCTTAGAAGTTATAATCGCTTGACACGAATTTTATGAAAGGTGTTATTTTTTTGACGCCAAGTGTATAATAGGGGGGCAAACGAGCTTGCGGGGTTAAGTTTTAGCTTGTCTAAGACGTTTTCTTCACCGTTGCTGCCGGGGATCAAACCTATGACCTCAGGGATGGCTCAAGCTATTTACGCTTTTACGTTGTGTTAAGTGTTTATCTGTTTGAAGGCTTTATTGAAGTAAAACTTCTTAAGGCGCATGAATAAAAAAATTACGGAACGTCACGAAGATGTGCAGCGTTTTTGTCGAAGAAAAGAGAGATAGCAATTGAAACCGATTGAGCGAGAGAGGAGGGCGAATTACCTTATAGAAATTCTATTTTTAAAATTAAAATTTCGTAAAGTTAATTTATGAAATATTAGTATTTTATATTTTTTGCAAAATAATTTATTGAAATCTGAAATAACGAATTGTAAATTAAAATGCCACGCGTTTCTATTATGGAAGAAATAGATTTAAAAAAAAATCATTATTTGTATTAATTTTCGACACATAATATTTTAATGACAATCAAATAATTTACACAAATCTAAAAAATTATATTTGTATAAATATGAACAAGACTTAAAAATTAGTTTGCCAAAGAAGTTTCACTTCTGACATGTGCACTTTTTTTATATTAAAAAAATGATGTTGACTTAAAGTAGTTTTTGAGTGCACTAGTAACCTTTTGGCTTAATTGGCCATGTTATACAAGGTTTTGCGAAAACTGATTGCGCCCACACGTTGCAATCACATTGATAAGAGATCGTGGAATTTCGTGACGTAATAACTCCCACGTGCGTCCCACGTTCATTGCTTACGCACATTTTCACGTAAGTACTTACAAAGGCAACTTAGCTCACAACTGCCCTAAATATCTTTTAATCGTTTCTTTATGCCCATTTTTAAGGGACCAAATCTTTACAATTTTGAATGATATGGTTTCTACATAAGGAGCTTTTTATGGATGGGTACAAACGGTCCTAACCTGATGTTAAGTTATACCCATGGACACTCAATGCCAGTGGGCTCGCGAGTGCGTTGACGGCCTTATGCCAGATATACTATACGACAATCTAGGCTCAGTATAATCTCCTGATGAATACACAATATAATTTTTGTAAAAATTTTAAGGAAAAGGGATACTCTTCTTTTATAAAATCCCAGAGGCTCTTTTATCTCTGCCTTTTAATAAATTTAAGAAATGTATTAAAGAAAAGCTGTGTAAAAAGGCTTACTATAAAGTTAACGATTATCTGGTTGAAAAAAGGGACTAGTGCAAGACAGGCTACTTCTAATTAATTTGCGATATTTGTTTTAAAATAAGTGAATGATTTGCTATTTTAAAAGAGTACAGAGAGTTTTTTACGCCGGCTTTTTCTCTCGGCCTACACCCTCTGTCTTCTTTGCCGATGAGTAGTTGAGATGTTTACAGATTCAAATTGTGATTTAAGTGATACCTGTATCTTATATTCCATAATAAACATATATTTTTTTATAATTTTTAAAGATATGGTTATCAATGCATTATTTTTCAAAAATGCATATCTCCAAAACGGTTTTTGATCAATCTTGGACTGTTCCTAAGTTGAAATACACTCAATATAAATAAAATCTCTACATTTGATTTTCGATTAATTTATTGACATACGAAATGTCGCAACCATGCTTGCATAGTTCATACTCAAACATCAACTCAAATAGCACATGTATACAGATAAAAAAGAAAACTGTTATAACTATATAGAAAGTTATGTATAGTTTGGCATAAGACTCAATTACAAAAATTTAAAGCACTTTATCAGAAATGATGTCATCTATATTTCACAGTCGAAGGCTTGAGTCTTTGCCAAGGAGGTTGGCATGCTAAACTGTTTAACTTAAACTTAATGTTATTTCCTAAATATAAGGCAGGAATACGAAATCTCTTTAATTATTATAGACGTAACAGAACATACACACAAAAAAAAAATGAAATAAATTAGGTACATCTAAAGTGTGTAATGTGTGTGGTGTTGTCTAACTGGCTTTGGCTCAGCATTATGGTGAAGAGCAGACGTGTTCCACAGCGCTGGTTATTCTGCCAGAGACCACAACAGTTAGTTTCCGCCTCAGACGCAATAAAAGGAAAATAATGTAATAATAATAATAATAGTGAAAATCAACAGTGTAAGTAAAAAAGTCTTGAAAGACTGTCATTTCCAAATATACCATTTAAATGATTCCTAGAGTCACTTCACCTGTTGTGTCTTCTACTGGTGCCACTTTAATGCTAAAGATTTGCTGTTAACAATTTGAATTGAATATCTTGTGCTAGTCTAAAAAGCTCCACGGCGGATGTGATGGTCCACTCCCGAACATTCCGCAAACACGACTTTTTCCTTCTACCAGCCTGTTTCTTTCCTTCAAGTTTTCCATAAGCTGCAACAAGTCATATCGATGATGACGCAAAACGTTTCCACGTTATGCGACTTTTCGTATCTGTTGTTGTATAAAATTTAAATATATAAAAATAAGTAGCTTTAAGATTTTAGTAAAAATTAGCAATATTTGATTATGGCACAATATTAAGTAAAAGACAAGATTTATTATTATTTCTTGTGTTAATTACTGTCAAAGGTTACGGTTAGTAATGAACAAAAACATTTTTTTAATCTAATCTAAGTAATGAGTGAGTGTATAACACAGAGGACTATAAGATACAAAACATGAACACTCCATTTGTTGAGGAAGGTTTCACGCAGTTCACAGCTAGTAACGAATAAAGAACATATTAAACTAAGTAGTCAATCAAGGCAATCAACAATGCCCTTAGATCACGTGATAAGACTGGCACAATGACCTACTTGCAGTCTCGTGCCACGAAACGTGCTGTCAAAAGTAGGGATGTTATGGATATGATATTTCGGATCTGGATACGGATACGGATATAGAAATAAAATTATATCGGTTTCGGTTACGGTTACGGATATGTAATTATTTCGGATTATCCGTTAGTTTCGGATAGTTTCGGTTACGGTTATTAGATTGCAGTAAAATAAAAACACAAATAGTATGTAATCATTTGGTTTTATTTATAACAAAACCATATATATGTACTTATAACAAAATATAAGTTGCCTACATTTAATCATAGTTCTTATAGTCGAAACTGAGCAGAGGAAGATTATATTTAACAAAAAAGCAATTTTGCAGCCTTATCACCTGAAAGTCGATTCCTTAAGGGGTCATAAATTAATCCGGCAGCACTGAAAAGCTGCTCACTCGGTACACTGCCAGCAGGCGGAGAGAGGTACTGTCTTAGTAAATTACTTAAGCTATGGTACTTGGTATGAATTCTCCACCATGTAAGCGGATCTTCATTGAGTGACAGTCTTTTCTCTCTATTGTATTCAGTTAGTAATGTCTTTTTTAACAATGAATTGATTGTACACATTATCAGCACAATCTATATTGTGCTCTTCCTCATCACTTATGCTTAATATTTCAGCTAGACAAGATTGAATGTGTGATTGGTGGCTTGAGCTTGTTGTTGCTAGCTCATTGCGTGCTATTTTAGGTGAAGAAGAACCTTCATCATGTGAAGTTTTAGAACATCCTAAGATTTCCAAAATCTCGGACTGTACCTGTTCCTTAGTAATTTCGGTAAAAAATTTGAGCTTGTACCGTGGATCTAAATAAGTAGCTATTGTATATAACTTATTATTTTGAATGTCCTGAAATCTGACATTGATGTCCTGGATCATTTTTGTGATCATTAAATTAAAGTTGTCGGAAGTGTCTTCTTTATTCTTCTCTGTTTCTAAAGTATTTTTAAGAGTATAGATTAATGGAATTACTGAAGCTATTGTTGCAGTAGCACTGCTTAACTCCTTTGTAATTTCTTCAAACGGCATTAGTACAGTAATACACTTTTTCAAGTCGAGCCATTCATCAGCAGTAAGAATAGGTATAGCATGCATTCCTGAATACAGTACTAATGAATCTTTTAATTTCAATATTCTTGACATCATATAATACGTTGAATTCCAACTGCGAATAAATAAAACTAGTGTCAAAACTAATAAAACAAAAAATATCTATCCAAAGGTACCTTATAGGGTAACTTACCGGGTGGAACATTCCTGAAGTATACTTAGTTCTGATTGGTTCAATCTTTCGATTTGGATATGTTTTAATTCATTTTGCGCAATTAAAGAATGATTGAAGTGAGTCGCAATTTTTTTGCACTTTGCAATCACTGGCAAGAGAAACTCTTCGCTTTCCATTGCCGATCGAACACACAATTGTAGTTGATGAATAGTACAGTTAGCATCAGTGAAATGAGCCATATTCATAGCTTTTATCATATTAGAACCTCTGTCGCGTAAAATACAATGAACTGATTCCGCGCTTAAGTTCCAGTCTTTCAAAATATTGTGCAAATTATTCGCTATTATTTCACCTGTATGACGACCCTCTAATTGTTCACACTTGAGTATTATAGAAATTCTTTCGTATTTATTTGTGATGCCATGAGCAGTAAGGCTCAGTAACGAGACATTTGCGCTGGGCTCGGACCACACATCTGTAGTGAATGACAGCTTTTCAAATTGCTTGAGTAATTCCAGAACCTTTAGCCGCATTTCGCTATATATACCATTACACAGTAAATTTGTGAAATACTGCCGACCTCTAAGATGATAACGAGGTAATGCTGCCTGCATTACTCTTTGAAATCCCACACCTTCCAAAACTAAATGGCAAGTTTTGTAATGAAATCATTTCGGCCACCAATCTATCCATTTCTTTTTGTTTGACATTACTATCATCCCAGGTACTATTATTTTTTAAAGAATCTGTTAATAATAACTGTTTTTGACACTTTTGTAAAGGTGTCAGCTGTTTGGATGTTTGTGGTTTTTGTTGCCTATTTTGTTCCAGCAATAAAAGTTCTTTGTACTTATCACTGTGTTTTGATTTGAGATGAAGTTTTAGTGAAGTAGTGCCACCTCCTTTCCGGGAAAAGTTTTGATCACACTGTTTACATTTTGCATGATCTATATTAACTTGATAAAAAAATGTCCAAATTAAACTCGACTTTGGTCGCATTTTGTTTATAGATATCAATTAAACACTTAAAACAAGACTTTCTTAAATTAAGTATCAACTCTTAAACAAAAAACTAACAAATTAATGAAAGAGGTTATGCTATGACTTGCAGTTTGTTCGTTATTTCTAATAGAAAAAAATAAACTACAAGATTCACGTGTCGCGCGAGCGGTGAAACAAAAGCCTGTCGAAACATGTCGTTTTATTTAGATTTTAGACTCCGCCCTTATTCGGAACTATCCGAAACTCGTGAAACGGATACGGTTACGGTTACGGATACATATTTTTTTCGGATATCCGATAGTTTCGGTTACGGTTACGGAGCTCCATAACATCCCTAGTCAAAAGTAGACCGCGGCCATCTTGTATTAATTTATGGCTTCCTATTATGACATCTCATTGCGGTAACTATGGCAACGGAATTTTGATATTATTTACGGAAAGGACTTGATTTTACATTTATTAATGGTCTAAGATCCCGCTATACAACGACCTTCACCGAGATGCTTATTTAATGAAACTTATTTTATATATAATTTAATATGTCAATAAATATAATCCATATGGGTTGCCTAGCAAATTTCAGTCCAGAGTATGTTTAATTAATTTAAAAAAAATATTTTTTAAACATTTCACCGGTATGATTATTAGATAAATTCTATACTAATCGAACGTATGAAGCCCATAGAATATGCAAACGTTAGGTTGTTTTTAATCAATTAATTTTTTATGTGACACTAAAGTATATATATATATCTTTAGTATAAAAGAAGGTTATAGTGATACATATATAATACTACCCTGATTAAAAATATTGATTGAAAAAAGTTCAAAAAAATTTACTACATGCAAATTATAACAAAAAAAAATTTTTTTTAATATTAATTAAACATACTCTGGACTGAAATTTGCTAGGCAACCCATATGGATTATATTTATTGACATATTAAATTAAATATAAAATAAGTTTCATTAAATAAGCATCTCGGTGAAGGTCGTTGTATAGCGGGATCTTATACTATAATAAGTTGTTTTTATTTGTTTACGGCCTCGAAACCGTGGACTAAAGATTAAGTTACCATGGTTACGACTTAGTGTAAAATTTGTCTATTGCACGTCTTTGTTTCTTTGTTTCCATATAGGACAAAGTCCAAGTCAAAATCGTTTATTCATATAGGTAAAACATTTACACTTATGAACATAAAAAAGAAATACATATTAAATGCTTCTAAAAAGTGCGTAGAACGGAAGAGAAGAACTGGCAATAAACTCTCCGCTCTTTTTTTAAACATTTGTCTACATATAAATTTATTTAAAAAAACGAGAGGTTTTCGTATTTTTGTACGCATTTTAAAACAAAATCTTATAATCGTTAGTATTAATAAGGTAACCGTTTAAAAATATGCTTTAAAAGTAAAAGATTTCTGAACTGTTAGCTTACTTTTCAGAAATACAAATTAATTAGTTTAATAAAAAGGCAACCAATCATTAACTGACTGTTTATTAAAAGCAAATCATTTAAGAGTAATAAATTCGTGACTCAAATGTTCAATTTTTATGACGCTTGGCATTTTAAATATTTACGACCTTCTTCGCTGTATTAGTTTATGAGTCGAACAAGAATATCCCTTCAATTTCAATATGATAAGATTATAAATATGACAGTGACAGGGAAAGGTCAAAAGAAAATCGGACGACATTTTTTGTAATTGGAAAGGATTTAGATAAAAAATCCATACAAATCTGAAGATTTGTGTTTACTTTGATCGTGTGTTTCAACCCTTATTGAGTGCGTTATTTTCCTTGAATGGTGATACAGACAAAGCAAAAATATGTCTGCCCTATTCAGAGGTTAGCTTTAAAAAAAAATTTTTTCACTCTGATACCTATAGCATTATATAATTTTTTACTTATGTAATATATCCTTCTACTTATCACTGATCCAATTAACCTCATTCAAAGGTCAGCGAGTACACGCCCAATTTCACTACAATTTTACTAAACTGCATTTCATCCACACGTGTTAGATAATCATTAATGAAACTAATTAGTTTGTGGAATAAGGGACTGTTCAAGTTTTAAGTTAGCAGATTTACTGCAATTTATTTCCCCCCCTTCCTCCTCTTGTTAGCTAAAGTAAGCAAAGCTCTCAAATATACATAAACGTATTAATTTTTTGTAGGAATCCTCGCAAATGCATTTCGTTTTCAAGCATAGACAATGTGTGGGTAATATCTGTGAAAAAGTAAATAATTACTGTTGACGTAATCACCAAATAAGTAAATCAAAGACACCCCCCAACCCCTATAGTGCTTACGTACTTGAACGGCCCCTAATCACGTGAAATAACTAAACACTCATTTTGAAATTATTTGGAAATGAAAATAATAAAATAAATAAAAACATTCTGTAAGTGTTTCATGATCATTTGTCAATCTAATAGGCAAGCAGGTGATCAGCTTTCTGTGCCTGACGCACGCCTTCGATTTTTTGGGTCTAAGGCAAGTTTCCTCACGATGTTTTCCTTCACTGTTCGAGCGAATGTTAATGGCGCACATAGATAGAAAGTCCATTGGTGAACTGGGGATCGAAGATCAGGGATGAAGCCAATAGACCAACACTGCTCTGCAAATTAAAATAGAGTTTGTAAAGTTTCATTGCCTTTCAAAGTAGATATAGTTTTAACATTTTAAATGAAATCCAAATCATTACGTATTTGTTTGACAAACTTCTCAAATAAATGTTTTGCTTTCAAATCTCCACTTACTTGTATTTTTAGTTATTTAGTTTATCTTGTTATTGTTATAAGAGTAAGGTAGATATTATATTTATTATTGCAATTTTATCTAATATATAAAATTCTCGTGTCACAATGTTCGTTCCCATTCACTTCCGAGCCGGCTCGACCGATTCTTATGAAATTTTTTATGCATATTCAGTAAGTCTGAGAATCGGCTACTATCTACCTTTCAAACCCCTAAGTGATAAGGAGTGTCCATCCCTTTTCTTTTACAGACATTTTTTTTATGGTACATAATACAACCCTTAATTATCACCCCTCTATGATCAACCCCTATTTTTTATTATAGTAGATAGTTATTTTTATTGAACTAAAAAATGTTTCCTAGAAATAATATACATGGCAAAACGCCTGTCCCGGCGGGTCAGCTAGTTGTTGTATAAAGATAGTTTAATAAGCTGTTATTAAGCGCTTTAATGTAAAAAAATCTAGTACATATGAAGAACGTGCATAGCGCTCGTCTTCTCTTTAAATTAATTAATAACAACAGAAGAAAATCTTAACAGAAAATCGTTACACTATATTTGAGATATTTATGCCTTTGAAATAGCGGGAAATGAACTCTGGATTACAAAGAATTTAGCATGAGTCATGGCAACGGGTGATTACTCAGTTCCGGGTAAACAAAGAAAATTCAACGTGATGCGTTATAATTATGTATGTCAATGACTCAATATTAGCGCACATATAATACTAAAGTCCTGATTTTGTTAGGAACCTAAAGGTTGCCTTGGGATGCTAATGTAATGGATACAGTGTGCCTAGCAACATACCCTACAATTTAAATGGAGATGGGCAGGGAACGTAGCCCTCTATACAGACTGGTCAAAAACACTGAACTACCCCAAAAGGAAAAAGAAACAATGGCGGACGATATCGAAATATGTAGTAGCTGGAAAAAATTGAATGGAAAAGGTGGAGAAGGACTTCTCCCGGACAGGGGCCGCTTCTTAGAGTAATAAAACTCATATTTATTTAAATATAAGAGACACAATTTGACAATGATGATATACAATTTAGAAGTTGGCCTAATTATGAAGTTCCCAATTGGGGCAGGATTGCTTTTGCATTTGTTTTGCTCTTATTTGGCAATCATTGAGTCTCAATTGTCTTTAAACCATTATCAATAAATAATTAGAACTGCAAACACATTTTGAAATCTTTATTTTTGTGTGTAAGTATAACGGATGGAACTAAGGAAGATGAGATAAAAGAGATAGTGGCGAAAGATTGGAATATAGTAGCGAAGATAGCGAAGAATTTGGAGGAACTCCGTCGAAGGTCGTGTACTAATATTAATATTTAATATACATAAACTCAAACTCAACACACACATTTTTATTTTAAGTATAACGAACTCATTTTGTAGTCTTCTACCAAGATGATGATAGATGATAGTGTAGAATCCACTGGTGTCGTAAATATTTAGGATTTTTTTTATTCTCTTCAGTGATTTCTCTCTCTTCACACAACATTACGATCTAGCCTAACTTAAGAGTAGTAATTTAAGTCAAACCTAATCTACTAATAAGGATATTTAACATAAAGTGTCCAAAAACACTACTTACTGAAGACACACTGTTCTTTGTAGGTACTATTTTTCCACTTACCACTGTTTAGCACTTAAGACTAATGTGCACTAACACTAATTCACTAGTTCAAATGGGTCCATTTCAATCTTGGCCTGGCCTTCTATCCAGGCCCGTGATGTGAAGAAGTTGAATAGCCTCGACATTCACGTGATGGTAGATTCCATGTCCGTGGGCAGCAATCTCTTTGATTATTCTTATATAAATAATAAATATTGAATCATCATCATCATCAATGGCTTTACATTCCCTTGTGGAAGGCCCACTCAAGTACATTTCGCCATCGCAATCTATTTAGTGCTTGTTGCGTCCAATTTCGAACCCCTATTGTTTTGAGGTCCTTGACGACTCCATCACACCAACGCTGACTCAGTCAAGCTGGTTTTCTCTTGCCACCAGGTTGTGAGTTCATTAGGGACCTTGGGGTTCTGTCGTCCGCCATTCGGTGCACATGTCTCAACCACTTGAGCCAATAAATATTTCATATAAGTTCATATTATTGTTGTGTTTTAATATAACTAAACGATTGACACAGGATATACCAATGGCATACAAAGGTTGCGTTTGGTAACCTTTACAGTGAAAGGCCAGTGAAAGTTAACTTCCTACGCTGCAATTTGACTCGGCTCCGGAATAGTTGTCATTGTTCATCCTCAAAGTTTAGACCCAAACGTTTCAGATTACTCAAGCTGTTAATTTTAACTGGCCTTCCTTTGAATTACGTTGATCTAATTTTAAACGCTTGCAAATAGATGTCGTTACTACTCTTATATCGAGATACAATAAATGCGTTTCTGTCTAAACCTTTCGGGAAAACTGAATATGTTATATAAAAAGAATGTGCGGTTCCTGGGTCATCGGGATGCTTTAAAATTTAAATAATAGAGGATTTTATTTTTACTCTATAATTAAACAATCGCGTACAAAAATAGAATATGCGAAATAATGAAATGTTAACTGCTATGAAACGAATGTAATGTAACTGTTGAAGACAGTGTCTTCGTCTGGCTATACTCTCGGGGCGTAACTCCGACGATTTAGGAAATCGCCACGCTTAAAACTAAGGAAGCCTGAGTAAGCAAAGTGTACAAGGTGCTTGTATCACTCGTATCAGATGCTATGAAAACAAATTCCTTTGCGGATATTATCGTCTATTGTTTGCGCATAGTTTTGAAATCTTGAGGTTTGATTTAGATAAAGAATATCTGCAACATTTAACTACGTGCTCTTTGTGACGTTTTCTTATTTTTTTTCAGAGCGTGAAAAATCATCAGTAGTGGTGTTAGAGAAGCGTGAGGCGCTCTCGAAGGTCGAAGTAACCAACGAGCGTGTGCGAGAAGATGCCCGGCCCAGCACGAGGGCAGAGGCCGAGGCGGCCGCCCCCGCCGTTGGCCGCTGGGGCGCCGAGTGGCCGAGTTGACTCGCTGTGGTTGCGGGAGGTTGCCAAACCCCCGACCGGCATTTGACCGCGTCGCTGCCGACCAACCGGCATGCGAACGCACCCCTGCCGACTGATCGGCATGTGACCCCACCGAATAAGGGGCCCACGGAAGACGCCCCTAGCGATGTGACCAACCCGTTGCCGGTCTCCAGGTGGGCTCAACCACGCAAACCACTCATACTGACAGCAACAACTCACGAAGAACTCTCGACGGCAGCGGAGACAATCCTTCGATACCTCCTCGTTACGGACAACTACGATTCCGTTAACAACTTTATGTCACTCTATGACGAGTTTACCAAAACCCAGGAGGCCCTATTCGACCTGTTCAAACGGTATGCACCTCCAATCAGGAGTAAGAAGCATACGTGCGTGGGTTTGGGTATTGAGCTGATACGAAGGTTGAGAGTTCTTGATAAGAAATTTCGAGGGTTCAATGCGGCGATGGGTCTTGTTTCGTGTGAGGAAGCAGTGGTGGACGTACATGATTACGTGACCAGTGGGCCTGGGCCTGAGAGCGTGGCGATGGCGGAAAAGGAGCACGTTATGGTAGCCATTCAGGTGGTCGTTGACGGAAGATCTGGAGTCATGCTTGCGGATCCTGGGTACCATGTGCCGAGGATTGTCACTGTCATGGCTGATCGCGCTTATCCTCACACTGGTAAGTCATACGTAGAGCTAGTATATCTCTTTTCGCATCTACCTTCTAGACAAAACATGTCAATTAATTTGTCAATAAGAAATATTTATTAGTAATCATAATAATCAAATATACAGTATTTACAATTTTCTTAACCAACAAAGTATTAATAAAAATTATTAAAATGAAGATCAAAACAAATTTAAAAAGTTTGGTCCCTGTGGCAGTGTACCTTTAATGCTGGCAGCATTTCCTCGCTGTATTGCGATACTTATTCGTTGAGCCATGAAAGTACCAGCTCTGGGGTCACCGGTACTATCTACCAGGCGCCAACATAACTCTTTAATAAGCGCCTGTGCACTTGAACCCCAAGAGTCTACTCCAAAGGGAACAAAATCGAAGTTGGAGGAAAGACTCTTATATTTGTGCCGTTTATTATTTTTATTTGTCAATTATATTAGTAAAAATTCTCTCCTACTAGGTTGGTTCACACAATCCGAAGAGCCACACTGCAGGAAGGAGTATGAATACAGCTTCAATCCCCAAAACAGTGCATATGTAGAATGGCATGAACGCGTGACCCGAGGGGCCACTGTCAAGTACCAAACTTCTCTTGTATATGTTGGCAGACCATACCTTGATGGAGTCAATGTTACGGAAAGGAGAAATTTGGTTTATAACTTCAGGTAAGATAAAAGCCATGGAAGGTTTAAATATTTTAATAATATCTAATAATGTTTAAGAATGTACGAAGAAGGAAATAATTTATAAGCAAAAAGTTCTAAATAAATTCACAGCAACTACTCTTTCATCGAGACATTTAACAAAAATTATCTTCTCCAGGAGTCTACTGGCCCGGGACCAAAAAGGACACCTGATAGCGGGTCTTTACTTCCCCGTGGGAGGGAAAGGAAAAGATGCCATGTTCACTCTCTTCTTCGACAACGGAGAAAAGAGGAAGGCCAAATACAAGTTCAGCATTTTCTCCGATCCTGATAATGTAAGTTTATTTTAACATTAGAAAAGATTTGTGACAATTTATAACAAATTTATATCGATACAAAAACCTTTTTGACTTTGTCAAAGTCAACGATTATTTTTAATGTTTAATTATTTTCATTTTTAAGCTCAAATTACGTTTCTTAACCTTCATTTAGTTATCGGCTCGAAAACTGACGAATATTTAATAGAAAAATTGCTTTTTAAACTTTTATATATATATATAATTCTCGTGTCACAATGTTCGTTCCTATACTACGGCTCGACCGAATTTTATGAAGTCAGTAAGTCTGAGAATCGGCTACTATCTATCTTTCAAACCCTGAAGTGATAAGGGGTGTCACCCCAAAAATATTTTTTTTTTATTCTAGACTTTTTTTGTTTTTATTTTTTTATGATACATAATACAACATACAAAAATACATACAAGCCTTAATTTTCACCCCTTTACGATGAACCTCTATTTTTTATTAAAGCAGATAGTTATTTTTATTGAACTAAAACAAGGTTTCTTAGAAATTATACATGGCAATACAACATTTGTCGGGTCAGCTAGTCTATATAATTGTAAATATTGTTAGTATGTATATATTAGTTGTTTACACAAAAGTTACCAGGAGTGCAAGAGCAAGAGAAGTTACCATACTTATAACATTAAAACTATTGCCTTAACTGACGTAATTTCTAGGAAGTATCAGTCCATTGTTAATTGTGTGACTCGTGTAAGGTTGATAACATTTTGCACGAACATGGAAAGTGACTCTTTGTTTACAACGTTAGAATCGGTATCTCAAAACATTTCGTACCTGAAAAATAATTCGACTGATATAGATTATGGTGGACTTATTAGTATTATTAGCTAACGTTAAGTATTTTATTGGATTTGATTGAGTCTTTGTCCATTTGTCATGTCGCAGCCAACTAGATAGCCTTTTTACTAAACAACTCTGTTTAACTAGACACCTGAATGATACTCGTGAACGGGTGCTACTTGTGGTGACTGGTCGTACTTGAATTCGTGTATGCGGTGATGTTAGTTATTTTCACTATGTATTTGCGTGTTGTTCCCACGAGATTGTAAGTGCGTGCTGTTATTTTACGCTGCACTGCTGATAGAGGACAAATCTTTGTTTTTAATTTATTTTAATATTATTGATTATTTAAAATGTCATGTGGAACATGGTGTAATGGTTGCAGCTCCTTACAAACGTTTTGTAAAACAAAAAAACTTGGCGATTAAAAAGAGTGGCGGAGAGTTTATTGCCGGTTCTTCTCTTCCGTTCTACGCCCTTGATTTGAGAACTAGCAGTAATATATTTTCTTTTTTTTGACGTTCATTGTGTTACCTAAATTGATAAATAATTTGACTTGACTTGATACTCATCATTTAGCTCTAGTCTAGCGTATTCGTGACCAAGTGATGGGAAAAAAAAGATGTAACATATTACTTTTCTTTGAAAATCATGAGCGGCGCCTTATTAAAAGTTTGAAAAGTTTCAATGCTAGGCAGAAATTGAAATGAACAAACTAGGCGTAGTGAACTAATGAAACGTCACCGATCCAAGTTATTTCATATTTGCCTAGCGGTTTCATCAATTGACCGCTGGTTAAATAGGTTATTTAGGCATAGCTTGGCTGTTGATTGAACGGCTAATTAAACTAGTTGGCTGTGACATTCATATTGCAAAATTTAAGTACAGCGTATGATTTGAATCTAGGTAATTTCCGGAAAAAATATTTCGAAAGTTAGGCTTTGCTACTATTTGGAAAAATATATACATAGGATTATCTGACGTAATTTCAGTATAAAGAATTAGTTTAATAAATAAAGTATGTACCTAATTAATAATTAAGTATGACCTTTATACTTAATAAGGCTACTTAACATGTAAATTACTCACAGGTATAAAGAAGTAATTATAAATCTACAATTGAACTTTTTTGTATTTAATCTAGAAACAATTTATAAATTAATTGAAGTTTTACGTAAAACGTGAAATAATTATGAACTCTAGATACGAACGTTAAATGAATACTCAAGTGATTTTCGTAAATAATTTTGGTAAATAGCGGAATATGAGATTCCCTATTCATTCCATAGCTATTCTCAATTGTATTTCTATTGATAATCACTTCATACAATAGTAAATCTTTATATATTTACTTATAAGAAGATGTATGCTATTATACAATTGTAATTAAGGATTTTAAGCTATTTTTATCTTTTTTTCAATTTTATTAAAAAACTGTATTCTTTACAGATACCAAAAACCATCCTGGAAGAAGTGGACCTCTGCAACAAACTGATGAATTACAAATCCGGTGAACTCTTACGCATCATCTCAAAACTGGCTAAAGTCATCTCAGACCAATCTTACATTGACCAACTCTTGGAGATCAATGAAGAAATTTGCCGCCTTTGTCTCTGACGACAGAAAAATGTCGGCGCTCTCAAAATGGCCGACAATAAATAATTTTTTGATTTTAGCATAATCACGTATTTTTCTCATTTTATTCGGTTTATGGGTTAATGCTAGACTAGTTTTCATTTATTAAAATATACTATCAGCAAGAGTTTTTGTTTTATGCCTTGGAAAATATTTATCTCTCACAAGTGTTCAAAAACGTGATTATTTTTATAATTTATCTCTTAAGGACATCTATAAAACACTATCAGACTTATCAGTCAATGAATTATTACCACCTTCGTGGATATCAATCACCTATGACATCACATGGCAAATTTTTAAATAAATATAAATATGCGCTGTCAACTCACTTTAGGAAAACTTGACACTTTGATATTTAACTTAACTTTATAGTAAAGGCTAGAGTCAACTATTGCTATAATATAAAAAAGGCTAGAGTCTGGCTAATGAAAGAAGATAACGAAAGAGCGCGGAAAATTAAAAAAAAATAATAATGGTATCCCTAAAAGTTTAATATATTTTGTGGATTAAACTTACTTGATTTTTACTTGAAACTGGCATAAAGTTAAAACTATTGCCATAATATTTAAAAAAAAACTTGATTTTATTTTATTATTTTTTACATTGATAGTAACTGTATTTCTATGAAATTAAATTACTACTACTACTACTTTTACGACTAGCATTGCATGGAAAACTAAAACTATATTTATTATAAAACACAACTTTACTCGGACTAATCAAATCCTGCGAAAGAAACGAAATATTCTAACAAATAAAACAAAGTTTAGGCTATAATACCTGTTAACTATTCGGAAAAAATATATAATAGAAATAAAAATGAGTAATTGCATGAAGTATCAAGACAATAAATCATACTAACCTAAGAAATTCAATGACATTCTGTGTTGCCATCCGAAAGTTTTCATATAATTCAATTATCTTATTTTATTAGCCGGACTCTAACTTCACGATAGTTTCAAGTGACAGTGCAAACTTAACTAAACAATTTGTATATTATTCGAACAATGCACGTCCATGAATCCAATTGTTCAAAAAATTTCGCTTTTTTTTGTGTTTCGCGTTTGCTTCGGTAAATCGTGCAAAATTAATAAAAGGCGCTGGAGATACCAGAGTAGCATAGCATATTGACGTTACAAAACTATGGATGTTTGTACTAATAAGATTCAGAACCGAGACTTAGTGTTAAGTCAAACTTAATCTCAACTCACCTAAACTGAAAATATGAGTATTGCGAAACGCAAACACTTATCAGACAATGAATTCTATAAAACACTATCGGAAAAAAAGAGTGGCGGAGAGTTTATTCACAGTTCTTCTCTTCCGTTCTACGCCCTTGATTTGGGAACTGGCAGTAAATGTAAAATTAGAAGCATTTAATGTATTTCTTTTTGACGTTCATATAAATGTACATTGCGTTACCTAAATAAATAAAAAAAACAGAAAGTTTGTCTGTGGTTCTCTGGTTAAGTTGGTACAAATAAAAAAAAACATAATGTTCACAAATTTATTTCTAATATGACAGGTACACTAACATCAAATTACAAATGGAAATTACAGAAAAACTATTTTCATCTGTCCCTAGCTTTGCGACAGTCCGGAAAAATAACGTTAATGCCCGAATACCACTCAAATATAAGAGCTACTCAATCGACAAATGTTATTATCAAAAGCTTTGTGAAGTCCAATGAAGCCGAATAGAAAATTTAAGATTAATAATAAATAAGGTATCACGGCATCTCTGTCAAATTATGTTATACCCAACGATGAAAAGATGTATAAATAAAAGCTACGCGCCCAAATAAAACGTGGACTAAATTGTGTATATGCTTACAATGCTTTCCTTGTACGAAATGGTAACCATAGTAACAAATGCATCCACGATTAATAATAACCGACATAGTTAGACATTAAACAAAGACGAACATCGCGCGCTCTGTACCGCATCTCAAGTTCCCACGCCTTGACATACGTCATATAAGATCTGTCAAATCAAACGCATGACAGACAAAAGAACGTGTCATATGTCATTTACAGTCCGCACCACAACTCAATGCCGACCCTGGAACTAAATATGACAGCTCCGCTTTTATCTATGCCTTAGGGAACTTTAAAGAAGCCAAAGATAAAGATCTGAAAATATGGGCTTGTAAAATTTGACACCTAATCATTGTCACCGATATTTTCGGAGTTAAGAGACTGTGAAATATTATTTTATTCGCTTAAGGTAAAAATTGAAGCAAATCTTGGAGACTGGTTCGCGAATTCTATATTAATTTATGTTACGTTGGGGTAAATTACGCCTAGCACTAGCAACATTATAGCTACGTCGCGCTAGCGCCGCATCTATCGGCATTCAGTGGTGGCGCGGACTCTAACACTCGACCCGTAGAACGGTAAACCTATATCATTATTACGTATTCTTTCAATGATTTCATTACGAATTTTGATATTAAGTCACTCTTATATTTGTAATGGGCTAAAACAAAATAAGCGTCCAGCACCCGTTTTGTGCCGTTTATTATAAAAGCTAACACTACGCTAAACTATTTCTATGCTTACGTTAACACGTGAACTGAATTACAATTTTGACACATGGCAACTTATCTTCCTTCCACAGATAATAAAATTTCACAGACAATGCACGTCTAGTATCTGTGTTCAGAGTTGACATTTTCCATACAATTTAAATTTTTTTATAGATATTAACTTTGAATTTTACTCCCTTAACCAATAGAACATAAAGCCACACTTCTGCACGGTTTATTTATAAATATATTTAAAGCACGTAGGCGATCAGATTTCTGTGCCCACCGGGAATAGAACCCAGGGACTTTAACCACATATGCCGTGTATATATTAAATACATTGTATATTTTTCAGTTCACCTATGAGACTCAATTCAACTACAAATTTATTTCCGCTTATTCGAACCTAGCATATCTATATTAAAACACAAGAAGGTACATTAAAACTTAAATTATTAAAATTGTGTATTGAAGGAAATTGAAATACTTATGTCAATATTTTCTACTCGAAACTCGCGATTTTGTATGCTTACAAATAAACAATGAAAAATCTTTTTTAAAATATTTTTCAAATTATTATTTATTTTTATAATATACTATCGTGCTAGTTACGGTCATTTCGATACTTTTACTAAAATCGACGCAACAACATATTTGTAATACGGTATTACAAATAGGTATGTTTAAATAGCTCAACCAATTTGATGAAATTTTATAACAAAGAAACGTGGAACAGAATCGTGAGTATTTTTTTAAACATACAAAGTCGCGGGTATCAGTTAGTTAACACTAGGCTCTTTGTAGTCAGACATTTTTTGTATATCCTTATCAATGGCCTTGAACACTTACGACATGTCGTCTATTAATGATATTATCAAACAATTCTAAAAAGTATTTTCCCAAAAATATTTTGTATGACCCAAGAAATAAAATGTTATTTCGTTGACATGATGATGTCAAATCTTTCTTTGATACATGAACAACGTCCACTCAAGACTTTCAAACATAGGTCAGATATTGTTGTGGCATAAGGAATTTCCTTGTGTCAAATAAAATGACAGCTGCACTTCCGGGTGACTAGGGTAAAATACGAGTGGTTAAAAATAAATGTCAAATGAAGGTTTTAATATTAATGACAAAAGTACGGTATTTTCGCTTGTGTCATTTGTCAAAGCGTTGAGTCAAATGTCAAGGCCATTATCGTTGTTTAATTGTCGGTTGTGTGTCTGTGTGAGTGGGTTTTGTGGTGTTTGTGTCTGTGTCTCTGCGGATGGGAGCCACCGTAGACCTCGCGGACAGATCTGAAAATATTTTCCATATATTCAAATTTTATATAAAAAAATTAAAAAATTCTTAAAGTTTATTGAGTGTTTGAAAATGGCAATATATACAGATGATCATCATTAAATTCCATAATAGAAGTTAAATTTTTTTATTAATACATTTAAAATTTTAAATGAATTATTAGGGTTCTTGATAAATTATTTCACGCTTTTTAAAGTATTTTCCATATTTACATGAAGAAAGATCAAACTAAAAAAAACTTCATCTAAAGTATAAAAAAACCACTAAAACTCTAAACATATCCATGCAAACACCTAAAGCGATAAGCAGTAAAATAAATATTACTAGGATAAGTAGGAACGCCTCCGCCAGTATCTGGAAACGATGCTATACTAAAAATTTGGTACTACCCTCATTAATAAAAAATTTATAAATCTTTCCATTAAATATCTATCATAACAACTCTACTTTGAATCTCATGATAAAGTAATATCTTCTAAGTCTTGCTTAAATGATAGTTGTATGGAATTCCACCACGCAAGCCCTCTGCGAATTGGCGGATATCTTAATTGGTTGAAATTTAAAAACTCGAATCATATTTAATATTATATAAATGATTAATTCTCTAAGAAATAAAATACATTTTAGGCAAGTGAAATAAGTGGGGTGGTTTTAACTGTCTTTTGATTAATTTTTATTTTGGTCTACCCTCACAAAACATTACAATATTATTCAATTGTTATCACAAAAAGTTATGTTTGTCAACTACCCGCATATTTACCTTGAAGGTAGAGTGAGTGGGCTGGCGGAAGTTCTGATTGGTCTTCTCGCTGAAGGACGGTGACGACGGGCCTCGCTGTAATACACTAGCTACTTAGCACTACTACTACTGGGATGGGTAGAAAAACTACTATTTATGTGAAAAATAGGTTGAAAAATTTTGCTAACCACCTCAAATATAAGCGATAGTAAAAAATCAGGCAAAAATTCTACTTTACCACAAAATAAAATATTCAAAAAACCTTTACAATAAATCGCTCAGTTTTGAAGCCAATGTTTCCCATTATAAGCTTAAATTTTACATCAATAAATAATAATAAAATATATTGTAAAAATAAGACATGCTAGTAACCAAAATAAGTGCGTTTTATAAGATAATAAGGTCCTTGAACAAACGCACAAACTCAAGCGCCCATTATCATAATTTGACAGATAGCATTTGACAGTTGACACTTGATGTGACATGTTAACATTGAAACGTAGAACCCGCGAAATTAACTATTAATCTAAAAAACGAGTGCAATAAGCGTATCTGAAGGCAGAGTACTCACGCGGTGGGCGAGGCAGCAGGCGGCGCCGGCAAGGCCAGTCTCGGCTCGTGTCTTGGCTCATGCCTTGGCGCGGGGGCAATGGCCGCGCGAGAGCGGGACATCATGCCGGCTCGCTCTTGGAACTCCCTGTCATGCAAAGTTATTGTTGAGCAGTGTTGGTGCATTGGCATTTCTAGCTGATTTCAAAGTTAAAAAGAAATTTAATAAAAAGTGCGTGCGTACAAAGTACACATGTCAGAAGTAAATTAATTATTACTAAGGTAAAAGCCCCAATAGATGATCATGTACCAGTATATGATCACTCCATGTATTTGTATATCTATATACACACTGTATACTTATAATAATAAAATCTCGTCTACTGCACAATATTATAAATAAAATCTGCATTTACTAAACGAATACATCAACCAATAGCGTGTATGTTTTTCTCGATCTACCTTACTCTCTCTCTCTGTATTGATCTTTTCTTCATTCTAATAGGAATAGTATTATTACAATGTAAACTCATTATAGCTCTCTCCCACCTCTCGTTCGCTGGTTTAATGTAAATAACTTACTGCATAAAAAAAAAAAAAAAAAAATTTTTTTTTTTATTCCCCCCCCCTCAAGGAGGGTTTTTTTTCCTTCCCTCAAACAACTTTGTGACAAAACTGTCTCACTGTTCTCTCGATAGGCTTTCTCCTATGCGAAAGAAAATCCGACAGTTTACTGATAAGGACACGGCTAAAATAATTTTTCATATCCTCCTCCCCCCCCTTTTTTTTTTTTGTTTTTTTGGTGGGGTGACTGTGGGGGTGCTTGCAGAGTTACATATTTGTGCTAGAAGCGGTCTTGTATTTGTTGTGTTCTCTCGAGGGAGTCGGTACGGATTATTTTTAGGAATTTTATTTTTTTTTCCCCCTCTTTTTATTATTTCCGATGCCTATTCTCTTTCAATTCGGTCTAAACAAATGGTACTTTCACCAGTATTCGTGCTTTTGAGTGTACGACTAACCAGGCTCAAAAGATACCACTCCCTTTTGAAATTTTCTTTGACAAAAAACGCTGCACAAAAAATCCAAAGCTTTTTATATTTGAGGACTGCTTAAATGATCCTAATCCTTGGGATTGAATTGCCCGTTTCATCCAATTGTTACAATCTTCGCTATTAAAAAAATGGCGGAAAAAATTCTTGCCACCCGCCCCCCCGCTTCCAAACTATAACTTAAATTTATGATTAATTTAACTTGACGATTCAAGTGACTTGTTCCACTTGAATAAAGATATTCTGAAGTTGAGTTCTTCTCTTCTTTCCCTTTTATTCCTCCCCCTATTTTTCTTCCCCTCTCTCATTGTCTAGATATAATATACATAGCAAAACGACGTTTTCCGGGTCAGCTAGTTGATATAATATATATAATTCAATTGTACGTGTGTATGTCACTGAACTCCTCTTAAACGGCTGGACCGATTTGAATGATTTTTTTATGCGTTCGTTAACCCTTATTAACGAATCATCATCATGATCAATGTTTATACACCCCCACAAGTATATTTCGTGCTTCTTGCGTCCAACTTAGAACCTTTAGTTTCGAGTTTCGTTTCCATAACAACTCCATCCCAACGCATCCTCGGTCTACCGGGTTTTCTCTTGTCACGTTCAGTAAGTTGGGGTTCTGTCGTCCACCATTCGGTGCCCTTGTGTAAACAGCGCCAAAGATTCTTCGAAGAATCTTCCCCTCGAGAAGCTATCAATCTCGTTGTTCTTGCTAAGGGCCTAGATTTCAAGACCATCATTGGTATCATGCGTCTACTGATCTCTGGGCTTGGGATTTTGTATCTGATCTGATATATCACGATATATATATATATATATATATATATCTTTATCTTGTTGATACGCGATAAAGAGAAGAAGCATTTAATAAGAACCAAATCAATTATTCAAAATAATATCCCTAGAGAAGAAATATTCATTAATTATATTTTTGAAGTTATACTTCTTGAGGCGCGTTATGAAAAATTGATGAGAGTGAATTTTTACGATGCGCGCGCACCTGAGACACAAAGTTGTCAGTGTGATTATAGCGTGCGCGAGCGAGATGGGAATAAGACAATCTACAAGTAAAAAGAAATAGAATATGCGTGAAATTAGCAGCTATGCCAAGAATTTTGAATGACTGAATTATTTTTACAAAGAAATTTAGCAATGCTTTTTCAGAAAGAAATAAAATATAATATATATACATAAAAAGACCTATTGTTACTTGTTAAAAGGTTATTAACATTGAATGAATAATATAATAAAATAATAAATAATTATTAATATTAATTTATAATTGAATAATATACTAAATATTATTAAATTATTAACGTTAAATATTTGTTATTAATTATTTAATATTTTAAAAAAATAAAGAAAGCCAAAGAAGTATTACTACGCGCGTACATAAGTACACGCACCCTTTTTTTTATTATTATAAAATAATTATTACCTGTCAAACTGTTCGGCTTCATCCTCCTCAAGGTTAATGTACTCCTGCCTCTCTTCAGCATCCCCCGAGTAATAGTTCTGTTCCCTCTCTACCACGTGAGCTCGTTCCCCGATGTGGTGGCCTAAAAATGTATGTTTTAGGGTAAGACTCTGAATCAGAATTAGAAATATATTTATTGGCTTTGACATAATATATAGGCGTCATGAATTTATTGGCTTTGGCATATAAATATATAGCGCGAATCATGTATACTCTGATTTTTTTAGAATTCTGAGAGGACAATTTGTTATGTCAGTCAAACCTTGATCTCCATTTGCATAGTTTAAACTCTGGGTCTATACATACATTTTTTTAATTCCCATTTATATTCTCTCTTAAGAGTGTTTTACGCAGTATTACGTTCCTTTTGATCGCCAGCTAAAGAAAAAATAACATTATATATTTTTAAAGTTACTATATTAAGATCAGTAAAGTAATTAAAGTTAATTCGATATATTGAAATATTTGTTATTTTTGTATTAGGTCAGTTGAGTAAGTAAATATTTAAGTAACCTTTTTGTAGGTAAAACATAAAAAATATATTGTAGCATATTATTTTTCATTGCCCTCAAATGGGTCAAATTTGTCCCTTTTTCGGTGGAGAACTTTGTTAGCAGCACTTATGAAATGTCAATTCTAAGGAATGAAAAATCAGAGTATAGCGTGTAAATAGTAATTATCCACAGCATACAACCACAACACACACACATTACACTCTTAAAATGTACCTTATTCCTTTTTTTTTGTGTGTTTCGTTAGTAATAAATGTTATGTCAAACTATCTAAATTAGTTCAGTCATTTTGCCATCAACAGACAAACAAAATAAATAACATACCAATAGACATCATTTTGACACCAGTACGTGAGTCCTGAAGCGTCTTGCGTGTTTCCTTCACTCCATTTGGTCCAATCTTAGTGCTGCTAGAGGAACTGTATACCTGTAAAATAATTTTCATACTTTAAATTATAGCCAGTATTTAAATAAGCATAACCTTGGACATTGTCCATGGGTCACACAGAGACTATTATACTATACAGAGGTATACAATTTTTTATTGGGAATGGAGGCAAACGAACAGGCGAGTCCTAAAATAAAGTGTAAATACGCCCACGGGCATCTGCAATGCCGAGGGCTTGCGGGTGGGTGTTGCCGAACTTTCTTGGTGGAGTGGTACGCTCTTTTCTTGAAGGCCCCTTATTTGTATCAATTCGGAAATACTGGGAGCTGGTTCCACAAAGAGGTTCCACAAGAGCGATAGAAAGTGCCTTAAAAATGTGTGAATAAAAATGGAATTTCGTATTGTGCCTCGATGTTTGCTGATGGAATTCAGCCTTGTCTGAACTATTGTCCAGAGCACTCCTCCCCATGATTATTGTGGTAGAAGATACACATACAACCTTAAATTTGGGAAACAAAAGAGTAACTGTTTATAATAATTTGTTTAATTTAATTCCAAAATTTGGGTTAAAAAATTACTTCCATGACCACTACTAGCAAGATTGTTTCATTAATACTTTAAATTGGAATTGTTTCTTTGAATGATCGAGATGTCAAATATTAGGAAACCAAAAACCAACAACCAAAACTATTTCCAAAAAATATAATGATTTTCATATCCATATGAATTATTGTTTAATACAATTAATTCCCTTGGTAACACAAGACCAATCAAAAGAAACCAAAAAATATTTATATTTAATACTTTTTAATGCATTTTGGAGTTATTTCTAAGTTTAAAAAAATATAAAAACAGACTAAAATATGTTGGCATAGTATCCAAGGCATTATTTTTTACCTGTGGTTTACCATGAGGTCCACTTGACATGACAACAGTGCTGCTGCTAAAGGAGCTGCCGGCTCCCATGGCGGCGTTTGTCAGATCCGCTGTAGTATACATTTCCTAATTACTACTTGTAAGACTTACAGTCGGCCTAGCATTTGTGACTTTATTTTGTCATAACATATTGGATTTGATGTAAAGGAGATTTACTTAGCGCTAAGTCTCAACTGCTGTTCTCAAAAACTGAATTAAGTAAAATATTCAGATTTGAACCTTGATTTTGCCTAGCAGCTGGAGCAAGCAAGTCTCAACCTTAAGGTGGAGGTGTTTTAACCACAGCTGTAAACCATTGGACTTTTCTTTGTATGAGTGCATTTAGGTAGGATGCTACGGCTAGAAGGTTGTAGCTCCTCCGATTTATTTTACATGCTAGAGTAGAGTTAAAGCTATTAATATAAATTGTCAAGTTTAGAGTTATCAGACTACAAATTACTGTGTAAATTCGCTTGTGGTGATCCATACAACTGTCTGAGGTCATTTGTTAGAATTCAGACAGTGTATATTGAATATCATTATATATTCTAATTTGCTATTTATTTGAATTAACTGTATTTATTTTATTTATATTATTTGAAATCATTATAAATCATTTCATCAATTACTTAGTGAGTAAGGTAAATTAAGAAAACAGATATCTGTCCATCACCAACTATTTTTCCCACATTTAACATACCTGAGAATAATCTGTTAAGTGAAGGCATTTGGGGCATAAAAGGCATAAGAGAGCTGCCATGTGGAGGTCCCATGATGGAGAGGCGACTATCACCAAGCATGCCGAATGGATCCGAAAACATTGAGTTCATCATGTTGCTCATTTGACGGATGTGCCGCATGTGAGATCTGTAATATGATTTTGAAATGACTATTCAAACTGTTAAAGTATATAACAGTAGAGGTATTCTTCATCATAATTGATATTTCAAAACTTTAAGTAACTATATCATTTATTTATTGAGAAATTGTTTTCAATCAAATGTGAAATAAAAGCCTTTTATAGTAAATTAATGATAATATACAATGTGAAGGATTTTATTAACATCAATAATTAAATGTCTGACTACATTTAAGACTGTCAAATTCAGGAGTTGGTTATTAATATCATATAGTTCTTAAAAAAAGGGACATATCAAGTAAATTTAAAAATATTAATATAATTTTTGCCCACATTTGATATCTACATACCAAATTTGATAACTTTAATCTTGTATGAGCCTTGAATTACCTACTAATTAACAACACTATCAAAAAATGTATTGTAATTAAGATTATTTGTAATTATTTAGTCTTGGTGCCTTTACTGGTGTGAATTACATAATTATTACAACATTTGAGAAGTTTAAGCAGGTCAGTAGTAAAACTTGGTTAGTAGTAAAAATATGGAAATAAATGTGTCGTTTTTCTTGGTGGGTAGACTAGTTGTAATGAAATTTTTTACAATGTCATAATTACTCCACATGTACAGTACAAGCTCACACTTAAATGTAGTTATTCAAAATATAATTTTTATATAAATATCTTGTGAATTGCTAAACTTTAGTGTTGCAATGAAAATTTTCCATTTCCGACTAATTATGGCCGTTTAATACAAAACAATTATATGCAGAAAGTCAGTTTTTATAGTAAGAGTTAATTTTCCTTATTGTTGGCTTATAGAACTATCCAAAATACCGCTTAATCTACTTAACAATATATTTCTTTCTTACCCAAAGAATGGATCGTCCTCCACGTCGGCCATCAAAGATCCGTAAAGAGACATTTTTACTTGATCAACTAAAACAAGTGTCGGAGAAAGAGTATAAGTCTTCGCTTTAGATAAGAGACTCTATCCTTTAGTAGAGTTTTCAGTTTTAGAGCTTGTGTTAACGATGTAACTCCAATGAAAAAATCGAAATCTCTAGCAAAAATATCAACGCGCTCAATGATCAATCACGGATTTGGTCTTTGGATTGGTCATTGGACTTTTATAGATTGACAATTGACGATATAGACAATAATATAATAGCATCTCTATGCGGTCTAAGAGTAGACCACAGAATCAAGCATGAATCACCAGTGTTAGGCATATTATTATAATATAAGATAGTATCTAGGTTAAAGTAATATTGGGGATAATACGTTATTTAACAAATATTTGGAATATTATATTTCTTTTCCATGACGGTAGCTGGCGAATAACCAAAAGTGTCTACAACACTGTAGAAAGAATAAAATGTTTTTTTTTAAAAGTTCTGTCTCCATCCTTTAAGCATTTTAATATAAACAACTTAAAGGTACTTTATTAATTTAACAAAGCTACTAAAGCTTAGGTTTCCTAGAAAAGCGGTGCCGTTAACTGACGGCCGTCATTTTACGGTTGTTAAGCTTAGGTTTCCTAGAAAAGCGGTGCCGTTAACTAACGGCCGTCGTTTTACGGTTGTTAAAAACGGCCGTCTTTGCTTTTTAACATAATGCAAAGCAACAATCATTTTCGCTCGTTCAAGTCACGTTTCCACTCATTGTATGAATTAAATATGGGCACCGCTACACGCGAAAAACGTTGAACTAATGTTTATCACCGCTATGACGGCCGTCATGCAAATGACAGCACCACTATTTGACGTTACGGTGACACTCAACGTTCTCTAGAAAACTTACTCGGATGTTATTTATAGACAACGTATGGGTGACGTCACCCAACGTTACATTACGGCCGTTAGATAACGGCACCGCTTTTCTAGGAAACCGAAGCTTAACTATATAAAATGAAACAGACCCAGGCCCATGTGACAGCCATATATGATTAGGGGATACATGCCAGTATGTTGAAAATTCTATCTTAAATCTAAAATTATTATATTAGTATTGTAACGGACGTGACGTCGCCAGTCACATCCTGCCAAGCCAAAGCCAAGCCAAAGCCAAAGCCAAAGCCAAAGCCAAAGCCAAAGCCAAAGCCAAAGCCAAAGCCAAAGCCAAAGCCAAAGCCAAAGCCAAAGCCAAAGCCAAAGCCAAAGCCAAAGCCAAAGCCAAAGCCAAAGCCAAAGCCAAAGCCAAAGCCAAAGCCAAAGCCAAAGCCAAAGCCAAAGCCAAAGCCAAAGCCAAAGCCAAAGCCAAAGCCAAAGCCAAAGCCAAAGCCAAAGCCAAAGCCAAAGCCAAAGCCAAAGCCAAAGCCAAAGCCAAAGCCAAAGCCAAAGCCAAAGCCAAAGCCAAAGCCAAAGCCAAAGCCAAAGCCAAAGCCAAAGCCAAAGCCAAAGCCAAAGCCAAAGCCAAAGCCAAAGCCAAAGCCAAACCAAACCAAACCACATCCATTTACCAACCCTCCATGCATGCCAACCGCAAATGCCAGCCACTTGGAGGGGATGAGGCTATATAAGCCAAAGCCAGCCATAATAAAACCTGTTACTTCGCACTTCGCTCACTCCAGTGAGTTTCCGTCCTGCCCTTCAGGCGATTGACCACCCCGTGACGGCCCAAGCCGAGGTTCGAGTCTCACAGGAGACGCCCTTGCGCTAGTCGCGGGAAAAACGCTCATTCTGGTCGAGCTACGCTCGCCAAAACAGCCCGAGCTGAGCTGTCAAGGCCCTAAAGGCCAACAGCGAGATCCCTTTCAAAAAAAATAAAAAATAATAAAACCTACTTTTTGGAAGACGTAAAATAAAGAAGAAGTGTGCTGTCACTCTGCCATTTTATTTTCACTGTCAATTATAATAAATTAAAATACTATTATCAATAAAAGAATAGGTCAATTATAGTATAGAATTATTACTTATTAAAATTACTACTTATCAGCTTTTAATTTAATCAAGCACAATATTATGTTGACTCAACTGACAATGTTATGTTGGCCATTATACAAATAATAAGTTCACTCATAACGCCGTTTCAAAATATATTTCAACAGTACCTACTAAACAAACTTACATAACTTTAAATTAAACCACAGACACTTGTTATAAAAATTATACAAACACAAGTTAATATCTATGGAAGCGGCGACCACGGTGGCTAGGATAAGCTTCAGTTTTACCATCGCCATGAAACGTCCAAGCCGCGGATGTTGGATAAGAAGTATAAACCATATCCTGTAAGCCATTTCTGCCCTTAAGGTTATTTCCCGCATACTCCTAAAATACAAATAGAATATTAATATTATTATAGTACATAAATATTTTAATTAATAGTCAACAAAATATACCTTTTCTGGTTTTATTGGATTGGGTTTATTTTGTACGGGAACATCGCCGATGTGATCATATCTCACGGGCTCAATATGATTTAACTGGCCACTAATAGCGGAGTCACCGCCAAATCTTTCTACAGGAATTATATTATGCATTCGTGTATCTTGCTTCATATTCAAATGCCTTTCAGAATGAGTAGGTGCATCAACAGGTGATTCCGACACATTCTGTTTTGTGTAAGATTGTGAGCCCTTAAATTGTTTGTAAATCTGCTGAAGTTGACTCCTGCTTGGTGTTTTTTCTGTTGGTTTTTCACCCATTAGCGCTGTTTTGCTCACCGTAGGCTTAACTTTAGAGTACTTGCTATTAACATTCATTGGTTGAGGAGATAGGGTTTGCGGTAGACTTGGCATTACAGGACGATACATATTTGCAGGCAATTTTTCCACGGGCTGCCCTAGTGTATTGAAATACGCAGGTTCGCTGCTCTTCTTGACATTTAAATTGTGGTATATTTTTTGTTTTGTTGTGTCTACTGGGAATATTGGTTCTTTGATAATAGGTTGCACTACGCTTTGTTGATTATTTTGCGGTGTTTGACGCTGTGGTGGCAGTATATTAGTCCTTATAGAAGGATCTTCTGGTATTGTTGATAGATTTTGACCAACAGTACTTGGATCAACCATTTCTTGTGCCTGCTGTGGAGTGTTATATATATAATGTTGATTTTGTATTGGTGTATTACTTTGCTGCTGATTTGCGTTTGATTGATTGTTGTTTGAAATTGGTTTCTGAAGGTTCGTGTTTGGTGACGGGATCACGGTGTTTTGATGCGTGGGTAGTATCTGACCTGTATTCTTAATAGTGTTTGGGTGAGCTTCCGATGTAACAGATGGCTCTAGAATCTTTGAGATATTTTGGTTATTATTCATCATCTTCTGCATTGTATTCATGGCTACTTGTTGTTGGTTTGCTGGATTCATTTGAATAGCAATAGCCATAGGATCAAAACCTAGGTCACCACCAAGACCTTGCATTACTCCTGGAAATATTTCATTAAATTTTGTCATGCCTTGTGTATGTTGCCCATACGACGGTTGATCCAAAGGTGTTTGTTTTATTGTATTAGATAGCGAATTAGAAGTATTCGCTGCATATATCTGCTGTGGATTTATATTATTCCTCATCTTATCGTTATGTCGAGCATAACTATTAGCAGGTGCTGTCAATGGAGTTACTCCAACTATTCCGTGAGGAGACTGTGGAGCGTCAATTATCATTGGCCCCGTCAGCCCTTGCTGTGGTTGCACTGGTTTACTTACTGATTCTCCATTAATCATATTTACAATTTGAGGTCCCATGCCTCCAAAATACTGTTGATTAGGCGCGATTGCGGAAGGCGGAGTGTTTTGCATCATTTGGGTATTTGCACCCACCGGTTGCATTTGCGATGTGTGTGGATTAAAGGCATTCATGTGGTGAGCATTAGCTTCATTCAGAGCTGGATCGTGACCATGTACAAGCCCTTGTTGCATGATACCCATTTTGCTACCTAATTCATTGTTCATAATAGTGTTTGTAGGGCCAAGTGAACTAAGGTCATTATACACTTCTTTAACTACTGGTTGCATAAGATTTTTGTTTAAATAGCTATACGTATCAGCATATAATTTAGGGGCGTTGCATTGACCCATGCACGTATATGGACTTTGTGGTGCAGAATTCATTGAATAGGACTCTGCACAACATGGGCTGTGTTGGTGACACCCATGACAAGGTGCGGCATGGCAACCATATCCATGACCCCCCTGTTGAGGGAATGAATTATTCATGCAGTTCATTTGAGGCGTTGTCCCAAATAGTTTTCCCATACAACCACTGAAATCATGAAATAACTTTTGTAACAGTTTTATAGATAGTAAATAAATGCAAGCAAGACTACCGATGTGAAATATGTATGGGCAGCGGTTATCACTTAATTCTAAACGTATGCTTAAAACTAAGTTTTACATTTAAAAAGTACAATATTTATACCAATCTGCACTTTGCAACTGATTCACTACGCTCCCCAACTCGCTGAGTATCCTTTGTTTATTCAGAGTCATTTCAATTTTATAAAGAAAACTTTAAATTTTGTTACTACAATTTTGAATCTACTAAAATTTACTGGGTAATGAAAATCACATAATATGCCAAATTTATCTTTTGTTTTAAAAATGTTGTCGCTTTTATATAATTTGTTATTTTTTATTTTGCAACCAGTATTTTTTCCAGAAAAAAACTGTTCTGATTATTAAAATGGAAATTAAGTCAAATTTTCTTTGTATATTTATTATTATGTGCTAGTCGCTAATTGAATTATACTGAAATGCGTATTTAAAATAATACTAGTACGTAATTGAATAGTAATAAATTAGACATAGTCTATTTAAATTCTAAAACTATGACTATTGACTACTTTATTATGCAGCAGTAAAATGGATTTATACTACTGGCAACTACTGTAATCCACGTCAGTATTCTACCTTAACGGTTGACAATTATGGCAATGACTTATGACGTTAAATGTTAATATATGTATGAAATTTGGACTTGTCAATAACAGCTAATGCAACTATCGAATAATTTCAAGAATTATTTTGCTCATGTCTCATTTTGAGACTGTTGCCGACCTGGTTCAAACGCATTCACGCGATATTGAATATTTAAATACTCATTTAGTATATTATTATCAGTAAAGTAGATAATAAATATATTTTTGTACTCAGATTTATCAGTATAATTTAATTTAAGTACATACTAAAATAGTGACTTGTGATACAATTATAAAGCAGTGTTTCTTGATTGTGTGCAACTTCGTAATTAGGCGGCGGTGTTCGCAGTTCATCGTTGAGTAATCGAGGTAATTATAAAGTACCAAAATGGGTAAAAAAGTTTTCGTAGTTGGTGTCGGAATGACAAAATTTGTAAAACCTAGTACGGATAAGGATTACCCAGATTTTGGAAAGGAGGCCGTAATTGACGCCTTGGCTGATGCTCGTATTAAATACGAGGATGTGCAGCAAGCAGTTTGCGGTTACGTTTTCGGGGATTCTACATGTGGCCAACGAGTACTCTATCAAATTGGTATGACTGGTATACCCATTTACAATGTGAATAATAACTGCTCGACTGGTTCTAATGCACTATTTCTAGCCAAGCAACTAATCGAAGGCGGCATTTCTGACATTGTATTGGCTGTAGGTTTTGAAAAAATGACACCTGGAGCCCTAAGCGGAGGTGTATACACAGATAGAACTAATCCAATCGATAGACACACCCTTAAAATGGCAGAACTTGCAGATTTAACTGGAGCTCCAATCACTGCACAATACTTTGGAAATGCTGGCTTAGAACACATGAAGAAGTACGGAAGTACAGAAGTACATATAGCAAAAATAGCTGCAAAAAATCACCGCCATGGTGCCAAAAATCCTCGTGCTCAAGGAAACCGTGTATACACTGTTGAAGAGGTGTTAAAATCAAGAAAAATATATGGACCACTTACAAAACTAGCTTGTTGTCCAACCAGTGATGGTGCTGGAGCTGCTGTACTTATGTCAGAGGATGCAGTGGTCCGGTATGGGTTACAAAACAAAGCTGTTGAAATCATTGGCATGGAAATGGCAACTGATACTGAGGCTGTTTTTAAAGAAAACAGTTTAATGAAGGTAGCAGGAGCTGATATGACCGCACTAGCTGCTAAGCGTTTGTATGCTAAAACTGGAATTTCTCCAATGCAAGTAGATGTAGTTGAATTACATGATTGCTTTGCTTCTAATGAGATGATTACATATGAAGGGCTCCAACTCTGTGGGGAAGGTGAGGCAGGCAAGTTTATTGATGCCGGAGATAATACTTATGGTGGACGTGTAGTTGTGAATCCAAGTGGAGGTTTGATAGCCAAAGGGCATCCTTTGGGTGCAACGGGACTTGCTCAATGTTCAGAATTAGTTTGGCAACTACGTGGAGAGGCTGGTGACAGACAGGTTCGTAGTTTAATAGTTGATGGCTGACAGAACACTACATATTACATTTCATGGTCACAGTTAAAGAGTGTGTAGTCCTATGGTGGGGCCCATAATTGTGCTGTCGCTTTGCTTGTAAAGCTTGAACATGATATTGAATGTTTGTTTTTATACTCATAGATATGTTGAAATTGGCAAATAAAACTCTGAATTATGTGAACTTTTTGTAACAATTTCTATTTTATCGCACTATGTTGTATATGTTTACCTACACTTCAATTATTTATAGATGTTGGTGAATTCGTCAGAAAATATACAAATGCTGCTGGAGTTGTAAAAAAAACTCTTAATAAAAATATATTATGTATTGTTTTACAAGATCATGTGCATTCGGACATTGCTCCTGCAAACTGATAACAAATTATTGATAACTCTGTTTTGCTGCGCTAATATTTAAATGTACTTTTTGTCCAGTTATTGAATGTCACAGATATCAAGTAACATGCCTAAAATTAAGATTTGATGATGGCGAAGTAAAGTTTCTTTTGACATTACCTCATTGAACTTTTTCTGTAATTGGAAGTTAAAATTAACAAGAATTTTTAAGAAATGTGCCGTTAATTCCAGATTTATAAATTGTTTTTATTACAGGTGCCACGCGCCCGAATCGCACTACAACACAATTTAGGTATTGGCGGAGCCGTTGTTCTCACGATGTATCGCAAAGGATTCCAAAATGCCACAACCAACCAGGTTGCAGCAATCTCCGATAACCCTGAAGAGTTCAAAGTATTCAAATACATGAAGATTCTCGAAGATGCAATGGCGAACGACGAAGACAAACTGATCGAAAAAGTCAGAGGCATCTATGGATTCAAAGTTAAGGGTCCAGGAGGAGCAGAGGGCTACTGGGTGATCAACGCGAAGGATGGCAAGGGCAAAGTGTCATACAATGGCAAGGACAAATGTGACGTCACATTCACGATCAACGACAACGACGTCGTCGACCTAATCTCTGGAAAACTTAATCCGCAGAAGGCATTTTTCCAGGGCAAAATCAAGATCCAAGGCAACATGGGCCTTGCGATGAAATTAACTGATTTGCAACGCACTGCCGCGGGAAGAATCGACGCAATTCGCTCGAAACTGTAAATTATCTTAAACCGGTTTCTACCGGTAATAACACAAAATCTGGGTTACGGTGCGGGCACAGGGCATTTAATGTAAATAATTTTCATTACTATAGTGCAATAGTTAAATAATCAAATGTATTGAAATAATCATTCCATTTTTGTATAAAATGGGACTATGATAGTATTGTTGAGATGTTTTTTATCGATTAAAATTTTATATATTGAATCTTTATTTAATTCCGACATTGTTTTACTGAAGAATCGTTCGCGATGATGATGCAACTTTTGAGGGCAAAGTTTAGACTGAATAATATACATGTTAAATAAATTACAATATAATAAATAAACCATAGTCGAATCTGTTAAGATACTATATTTTATACACTTACAACTGTTGCAACTTTTCAAAATCAGGACTATTAGAATTGGAACCCAAAACCTCAATAATTACATTAGATAAACAGCTATGAACAACGATTAGCGTTAAACATGTTTCTCTGAATGTTTCTTGTCTTTGTCTATTCAAGAGCCAAGAGGTCAAGCGTATATTGAGGACGCTAGATAAAAGATACTAATAGATTGTATATATATCTCTATGTATATAAAATTCTCGTATCACAATGTTCGTTCCCATACTCCTCCGAAACGGCTCGACCGATTCTTATGAAATTTTTTATGCATATTCAGTAAGTCTGGGAATCGACTACTATCTATGTTTCAACCCCTTATTAGTGATAAGGGGTGTCCACCCCAAAACAATTTTTTTTAATTTTTAGACAATTTTTTTTGTTTTCATTTTTTTATGATACAACATGCAGAAATACATACAACCCTTAATTTTCACCCCGCTACCCAACCCCTATTTTTTATTATAGAAGATAGTTATTTTTATTGAACTAAAAAAATACACATGATAAGTACATGATATATGAATACAAATCATTCATCCACGGTGATAATTAGCTGCCAATGATTTCGTGAAAATATTTACACTTTATTTTACCTAAGATCTTATCTAGTTAAACCAGCATTTCAAGTGAAGTCGGTTACGATAAAGGTTGGTTGTAAAAACCACTAGAAATATCGCTAAGTAAGCAAACTATTGGTTTGGGCGGGAATTATCTATCAACAATTTATTATTATTGTAACTTTATTTTGGAGATAAACACGTAGTTATAGTAAATAATGAGTTGCAGTGAAGTGCAGACATGTTCTGTGGTTGCATCATACGGCTTCTTGTCTGTTACATGTGCCAAGGCGAACGATTATACCAGTTTTAAAATGTTCAGTATAAACTAAAGGGTTTTATGGGGAATCCGAGTTACAACGGGTCTGTAAATTCAAAATAATACCGCAAACGAGGAAAATAATAGGGAAGGAACGTATTGGCAAATACATAACAGCAAACAATTATTGACCATCGTACCTTAGTAGGTACATAGATTATAAAAAGAAAACATTACAAAAAGGTTATAAATGATAAACTCAATAGAATTATCTTCGCGGGAGATAGCAGTAATCTTTATGAATACCCCTGAATGTTTTATCTCTTTCTCGACCTGTTAGATAACTAACCGAAAATTTAGGTAGGTATAATACCTATAGAATATATAAATTGAATACATTGAACCCTTTCTAGATGTATGAGTGAAGATTTCCTAAAGGTAAAAGGACCCACTTTTAAATACTACTAGACAATGATGGGTCATAGATTGTTTTGACATTTATGTTTAACCATTTGAGACTTGAAATTCGGAAAAATCTTAAGTGGAAGTTTTTAATAATACAATTTCAAGCAATTAAATACCTACTTAAGTTAGAAATATTACTTCAACTGATCTCTTTATTGATAAAAACTCTTTTGTCTTTTTCTAAGTCTGTTTATATGATGAGAGAGAGATGACTTGTGTTATAAGTAATAACTGATTTAGTTTTATGAATACGGGAAATAAAACTTGTGATTCGGGAGGGAAAATAGATAATTATGACTTTTTCATAATTAATTTACGCACTATGCACTTTGGCACTATGTCTATGTGCTTGTAACTCAAAGCTATGTCGTCACGGAAAGTTTTACGACCTTTGTACCGCCACCAACTATCATCGAGTTCGTTTGTCGTAACTAAATCGATCTTATAACTACGAACAAATATATTATACTTATTTCATTTACGTAATTGATTACAATAATCTCATTTTTATCGATTTTCCCTTCAATAATAAAATAATCAGTTTGATAAAGTATGTAAATTTAAATGCATCTTTACAACATAGGTAAGTACCTAAGTATCTAGCAACACAAAGCATTCGATAGATAATTTAATGTTTCTAGCTATAGACAGTTTATGATTTTTTTTACTGCAAATTTTTGCATAGATTTGTTATAAGCAGGGAAATATCAAATAGACACAGATATGAGGAATATGATTTGAAAATAATTTTACATAATTATGACTTGATACGCGACTCTACCCTGGGGTACTTTGTTTGAAAACAAAAACTGATGCAGAAATCTTAAATATTCGTAAATGAACTTTGTACCTATTGTGTTCTTGTTGATAGCGTTTTGTATGTGTAAAGTTAATTTAAGTATTAAATCCGTCTGCATTAGGCATATTCGCTGACCTTGCCTTACCCGTTTTTAAGCGTCTCGTGACTCGAGTGACGACTGACGACTTCGTTTAATTTGATTTAACAAGACGATATCATAAACTAGTTAATATCTAGACTTGGACTAGATTTATGTCATAATAAATTCGTAATTTTTATGGATAGAACAGAAGCATATAATATTATAATCCATATTTTGGTTTTAATAACCGGAGTTTATTGAAAAATAAACCAAACAACTAATTGCTAACTTTTTAATATAGCGCCCTCTGTGAATGATGTTAATAATACCATATTCTATGTAGTGTGACAAACAACTTTGGTCTCATTTGAAAAGTATTAAATAGATGGCGCTGGTACATTATATGATAAAGACTAACCAAGAATAAAATTTATGTTATTTAACATTAATAATTTGACAGTAATAACAAGCAAGTGATTGACCACCATAGACAATTGAACTTCATGACCGAAACAAAACATATTCCTATCTTTAGGATAGTTCCGCCAATTCGATAATTTTACTCTTGAAAGATTGTATGTTTTAACTTTAGACTTATTATAAAATTTAAAAGCAGTGAAGAACATCGTGATTCGTGAGGAAACCGAATTGCCTTAGACTCAAAAAGTCGACGGCGTGTGTTAGGTGCAGGCTGATCACCTACTTGCCTATTAGGTTGACAAATGGTCATGAAACAGATACAGATATCTGAGGCCCAGACCTAAAAAGTTGTAGCGCCACTGATTTTTTTAAATTTGTATTATAAAATTTACACGTATTCCATATCAGTATTTAAATGATAAGTAAAATATGTTGACGGAGCGCTTATAAATTTTATTTATCTAAGTAGTAAACTAAATTGTATCGAAAATTAAACTAGCTATCATAAATTAATATACCGTATTGAATTAAACAAATTACCAGACTCCAAAGCTATGCCAGTTCTCAAAATTTATTTTTAATATTAAACTTACGATGACAACACGCGCCATCTATTTCCTTTAAATTTTGGAATAAAACAGTAAATAACTTTAAATACTTTATTTTGCGACTGTAGTGGTAGCATTTTGAAGAGTACATGTATTTAACAATCATACATTGAGATCACAGAGTACATAACACCCTGGCAAGATACTGCGTTGCTTATTTTTACCTCCTGAATAGTTAACACAGAATTAATTGAATTCTTAAATATAAATAAGCAGCGCCATAACTAGTATTTAAGTGTCCAACAGTCTGACAAATCTTCCCTTTACTGTACTTAAAAAAAAAATATTTACATATCTCTCTCACTGTCTTTATTTTATGTGAATACAACCCGTGGAGTTTATTACAATGATGTAGGCCCATTTCGTAAAAATATGCAATGTTTTGATAAACTGATGCTCAATTGTACTTATTGGATATAGTTGTCAATGGCCGTGTTTGGCCGAAGTATCTGAGGTACTTACTAAATTTAGTAAGTCACTTTTACTATGTCTTACAAAATTTTCGGCCGAGGACAAGCAAAATAAGTGCTAACGCAGCCTTAAAGTTATGGCTCTAAGTTATACGACGCCAATTTGCTACATAAATTTATACCGTGTTGATGTAAACAAATTACCGGACAATAAAATATCTCAATAAAATATTTCTCATAAAACTTATCCATTTGAAACTATTCACAGGTATTAAATTTATATTCCTAAATTTAGTACATGTATTAACAATCTATATTCAGATCTCTGAGGTTATGTACTGGGATACTGCGTTGACATAGTAACCGGTGTTTTGTTGTTAATATTAATAAGCCAGTAAGTCTGTCCTGGCCGAAAAGCACTACAGTCAGCTTGTAAGACTTTTAATTTTTTATGCTTACAACCGGTGGTTTCTTACAATGTAAGTTTAGTAAAGTACTTACTTCGAGCCAAACACGCCCATTGTAATAGTATGAATGGCGCCAAAACTGAAATATGACAGTGTATAGACAATGGAAATGACACGCCACATATCCTAATAACAATGGAAACTCCTTGGTCATAAAACATCGTGTTTAAATGATTTTATTTTTATTCTGTGTAAAGTAAATAGATTTCTATTGTTATGAATTCAAACATACATAACTTATTATTAATTTGATAACATTTGCGTAAGTGATTTATTTTAATAAATAAATATAAAAGTTGTAATGATGTATTGAGTATCAGTAAACCGGTACAGAAATAAATACCATTTATATTAGTAAAAGAAATGCAGTCTAGCACCATTTTCATTGACAGTGAGAGGGTCGAAACTTTTCCATCGATACAATAACGATTTAAAGCAATAACATATTCATAACAGCCTATGAAAAACCTAAACATTTTCAAACCTGTACAAGAAAGTTATTACAGCGCCATCTAGCGGCGACAAACTAATTTAGTAAAATCTTTAAAATATTAAAACGCATTTTATACGGCTGACAAAATCATACAATTTATTATTCTTTATTTATAATGTTGCTTAAACATTTGTTTAAATGGATTTTCATAACGCAGCGTAACAATGTAAGTTTTTTTTCTACTTTTAAGTCGCAAATTTAACAATGACTCCCAAATGGCTAAGCCATAAAACAAAAAATAAAATTCAGTAGTTGCCAATAAATACTAAAATTATATTATATTTACAATAATTAGATACTAGATTAGCCAAGCCAAAACATCGTAGCACCAAAAATATATCCAACAATCGGTACTGACAGAAAAGTTTCTATACACTATCATATCAAAACCGGATATAATGACACAAGGGTCTAAATTCAACTGTCAAATTGACATTGCAGTCTTTATATCCAGTTTTCACGTTAAATCTAATTAAAATAAGTTATTACACTCGTCTGTGGTATGTAAATTTACTAAAAAAAGTAAATGGTAATTTTCTCGAAAAGTCTCTGACTAGAGATACCTCTTAATCTAAAACCGAATTTATAACTAATTTAACATAGCACATATTATAATTTTAAGGAATTACAACACAAATATGAACAATTTGAGCTTTGCCAAAATTTGTGAAATTATATTTCACTATGCTCGGCATAGTTTCACTAACATGAATGTAAATGTGATGTTTATGTCCAAATTATCATTCAGTAACATTTAAAATATAGGGGAATGTAAAACGAAAAGTGTTGCCAACTCTAGACAGCAATAAGCGCTAGATTTGACCAAGCTTCTAGGTATAGAACGAGCGCTGACGGATTCAATATTATTCAAGCCGCTTAATATATATAACAGCGCTAAGTTGGCATAAAGACATGGCGCGCTTTTGCCGATTTGTCAAATGGAATGACAGATGGTTACGCTTGTCTGTGAATGGACCACAGACATGTTCGTTTTACATTCTAAGCCCGCAATTTAGTATTTGGACGTTTGATAAACAAAAGGGGAAAATGTGTAAAAAAATAAAATTTTAGGTACTTTTGGCATAGAGGAATATATAGAATTGGATTTACAACAAAATCCGCGATTCGCCTCCAATACTTATCGGTTTTAAATGGGGCGTTTATGACCGCGGTAAAAATTGGGGATACCCACAAAGGTAATGTTTGATGTTTTGAAACATTATTTACAAATGCATAGTTACTGGCTAAGTGATTAATAGGTAAAATGCACACATTGTGATGATAAGGGATACCAAGACTGGCAAATAAATAAAAAAGTATAAAATAAGCCTACATTAAGGCAGTGTTTTTCAAATTATTGCTCCGAACTACGATAAAATTTAAAAAAACGAATATAACGACATCAAACCAAAAATGATTTTATTCCGAGTTCTATGTCCAAACGAGTTGTATTTTCTACGCGTCGTTACTAACGGCTGTCAACGTGAAAACAAATCTAGTAAAATGAATGGGTGTTCCAACTTATAATGCATATAGAACCACAATGGCGAAACAATTTCACTATAATTCGTCGTTATACCCGTAATTTTGTTGTTCTAAAGGAAAATGCTTATTTTAATTTCTTAATTTAGCATTTATATACAATGAGGTAGTATGCGGGTTTATCCTTATGTAAATTTTGTCGGCACATGCCCTGCCACAGATCCAAAATGAAAGCCATAGATGTCCTTAAGAAATTCATGGGATTTTATATGCTCTATTGATCTCTAATATAAAAACAAATGTTTCGTCATGATCGTAGAACAATGTCGGATTTGAAGAAAATCCAAAATCCACTTTTTATCATATTTGGATGTTTTAAATGTGTTTTAAATTTCAAATAAAGCAGTCGGTAAAGTGACAGATTTGATAGAAACGTGATTTTTCGAGAAAACTGTGTAATATAATGTTATTATTTTTATTTTGTTTCAAAATAATCCCTTTTGTTTGCTTGTATGCCAATTTTCATAATAACAGAATATAAATTAAAATAGTTATGACAAAAACTAACATGATTATATTATTTTGAAATGGCTGCCTGTAAAGTTTACTATTTGTCAGATCCGTCACTATTCTACGACTATGACGGTTTTATCAAACCGAGGGACCACACACCAAGTTGAGAACAGGTCAACTTATGACTCTCCGTTTTGTACATTTATGGTACATGATAATAGATAGGCCCCTCATACGAAAACTCTTACAAAGAATATCAAATGATTTGAAGAATTTAGTTCCATTTCACACCACTCATTGGTCTCCTTCTGTCAAATTGTGTTTATGCAGCGATGAAAAGAGACATAATAATTTTGTCATACATTCCAAATACTGTATACCATGACAAGTTTAGTTTTCCCTTTAACAATTATAATTGACCAATAGTGCAAATGAAACCCAAATTGTATTGGCCATTTTAAATATATTATCATCTAAGCCATGGTTTTTATTGGATTGCAAACGAGCCTACGGGACGCTCACGCAGCCCATGGGCACCCATTTTAGTTGATGTGTTGCCTTATAAAAGAATTTTATATTAATTCGTTAAACTGAATGGATTATAAATTATTTGGTATTACAGAGGTCTATACACAGTTAGGGACCGTTCAAGCATTACGTAGGCACTTTAGGGTGTGGGGGGTTGATTTTCTTATTTGTTGAAAACGTCAACAGTAATTATTTACTTTTTTGATATTACACACATTTTCTATGCTTGAACACGAAATGTATTTTCGAGGATTCCTAAAAAAATTATACGTTTATGTACTATTTTTGAGAGCTTTGCTGGCTGGAAGTGGGGGGGGGATAAATTGCAGTAAATCTGCTTACGTAATACTTGAACGGCCCCAATTTAGAGAAACAATTGGCAGTATGTACAAACTAATGTGGTTTAAAGTTGTATATAAATTATGCTTTATTTATTATGTGAGTATTGAAGCATATGGGAAGGTATATAATACCGGAAAATGGCACATAGACAACAGTTTTGGGGCTAGTTCACTATGCATTTACCGATCGGTGTCAAACAGTCCGGCCACTTAGAAAACTATTGATTACCTCAATATAACGTACATAAACTGCGCCAGCACTGTAGCTACCAATAGCTCGCAAGTTTTTATATGAAAAGTTCTCTCGAACGCTAGCTATTGGCAGATACAGGTACAAGTAATCCAAGTGCTTTGAATGGTTTCACGATCAGCACCAACCATCCAAACGCGATACCGTTAAGCACCTCAACATTTTGTACTCTAGACTTCGCTAAGCGTTCATCAAATCACAAGCCGAGTGATTACCCGCGTCGGTCAACAAGGCGGATCACTATCCCTGGGCGGAGAGGAATTCGGCTCTGGTTTCTCTTCGAGGAGTCGTTCTCTCCTCTCTATCTCTCTTTCCCTTTCCTCGAGCCTTGCCTCGCGCCTGGCGAGCTCTACCTCCCTCTCGTCCAGGGTTCGCTCGCGTTCGTTTAAACGCGCCTCTGCGTCTAATAACCGGGCAGTGAGCTCTGGGTCTGATGGGGGTGGTGACGTGGATGAAGTCACGTCGTCTATAGGCGGAGTTAGTGGTTTAAGGGCAACGTTTGGCTGGAAGTCGTGTTCGAACCTCCTGCAATCTGCTACTCGGACCACCCTTTCTGGGTGTAGGAGTTCTGGCTCCCTTTTGCCCCAGGGTCGGAAGGTCTGGGCGGTTCTGTACCGTAGATGGGCGTATGGGTCTAAATAGAGTGCGCAGCCGAAGTCTTCACTCCTGACTTTCTTCGGCGGTGATTCTGGAGGCTCGGTTTTGCAGACAATCGTCTCCAACACCTGAAATTAAAAGGTGACTAATTAGATACGAAATATCTATATATACATATACATATATATAAAAGAAAGTCGTGTTAGTTACACTATTTGTAACTCAAGAACAGCCGAACCAATTTGGCTGCAAATTTATGGGGAGGTAGCTTAGAACCAGGAGACGGACATAGAATACCTTTCATTCCTAAAGAACGGCTGAATCGATTTGGCTGAAAATTGGTGGGGAGGTAGCTTAGAACTAGGAGACGGACATGGAACATACTTTTTTAGCCAGTTTCCGTGGAACGTGACATAAAACGTGGTATAACTAAATAAAAAGAAAAACAGAATCATTACTTCAACACTTCATTTTTGCCTCAAAGAAGGAACAAAGTTTGCCCGTCGCCGGGTCCGCCCCCTGATCAGCTTCGCGAAAATTCCCCCTTCTATCCACTATCTAAAGTTAGTAATTCTTTTTGGGGAAGGGGTTTCCCTTTTCTTTAATAAAATCCCAGAGGCTCTTTTTTCACTGCCTTTCAATAAATTTAAAAAATGTATCAAAGAAAACTGTGTAAAAGGCTTACTATAAAGCCAACGATTAGCTAGTTGATAAAAGGGCCTGGGACTAGTGCTAGACAGGCTACTTCTAATCAATTTGCGATATTTGTTTTAAATAAGTGTTGTTTGATGATTTGCTGTTTTAAAAGGGTCCGGGGAGTACGTTTTTACGCCGGCTTTTTCTCTCGGCCTACACCCTCTGTCTTCTTTGCCGATGAGTAGGGATGCCTTCAAATTTAATGACGTGGAATAAGTGATACATGTATCTTATGTTCCATAATAAACATATTTTATTTTTTTATTTTATTATAGTATATATAGCAGGCAGAAAATAACAAACGGCACAAATATAAGAGTCTTTCCTCCAACTTCAATTTTGTTCCCTTTGGAGTAGAGACTCTTGGGCAGCGGGGTTCAAGTGCACAGGCGCTTATTAAAGATTTAAGTTGGCGCCTGGTAGATAGTACCGGTGACCGCAGAGCTGGCACTTTCCTGGCTCAAAGAATAAGTCTCGCAATACAGCGAGGAAATGCTGCCAGCGTTAAAGGTACACTGCGACAGGGAGCAAACTTTTTAAATTTGTTTTGAATTTCATTTTATTTATTTTTAATTATTTTTATTATTACTTTATAGGTTAAGAAAATTGTAAATACTGTATTTGTGTAAATAAAAATACTATATAATTATGTTTGTATATATGTTTTTTAGTGTTGTAATGTCTACAAGTAAATATGGCGAAATCTTGTATATCAAAACATGTAAATATTATCAAATCCATTGGAGTATCATTGTGACGCATGAGATATAACAAAGAGGTCACTCTTATCTGACACAAGATGAAAGTACATACTTAGTGTTTCATTTTACATAAATAATTATACTTTTGTTTTTAGTATTTTATCAGGTTAATTTTTAATTTTTATGATATAACTAGCTGATCCGGCAAACGTCGTTTTGCCATGCTTATCGTTTATAATTTATAATAAAATAGGGGTTGATCGTAGAGGGGTGAAAATTAGGGGTTGTATGTATTTTTTAATGCTGTATCATAAAAATAAAAATTATCTAAAAATTAAAAAAAAAAGTTAGGGGTGTACTACCCTTAACATTTAGGGGGATAAAAAATAGATTTTGTCCGATTCTCAGACATACCCAATATGCACACAAAATTTCATGAGAATAGATCAAGCCGTTTCGGAGGAGTTTAACCACAAACACCGCGACACGAGAATTTTATATATTAGATTTCGAATAGATTAATACAGCTATTTATTTATTAAAGTACACCACATCATATTCTACAGTATATTTTATAATCTATCTATTCTAACATACGTGACAATTATGGTCCAACGTAAATTTTACACAAAATAATAAAAATATTACATTTACAATTTCAGTTTTTATTGGTAATTTTTTGTTTAACAACGCGGATTAGGATAATTCCGACAAAGTCAATGATTAAATAATAAATAAATAATACAAGTGTTTATGGAAATATATAGCAATAATAAAGAAAATATTGTATGGCGGTATATACTGTGCGACTACAATGAATATCACCCCAAGACCTAAGAATCGGCGTGTGTCAGGCACAGAAGACTTCCATGCTCTATAAAATTGTGAAGAGGCCGAGAACAACATTAACAAACTTAGGTATTTAGGAAATACCCTCCTACTATTCTCTACTTCCGTTGGAGAAGAGACTCTTGGGCCGTGTGGTTCAAGTGCACAGGCGCTAATTAAAGATGTAAATTGGCGCCTGGTAATACCTTTCTCGCTCCACGAATAAGAGGGAATGCTAGCATTAAAAGTACACTGCCACAGGGACTAAATTTAAACTTGTTTTAATTTAGTATTGTCTTTGATTAACATAACTTTTATTCATTTAATAAAACACTATTTTGACCGGATTGAAGTTATGTATTATTATAAATTTACATTTATAATGTCACGGTGACATCGCACGCTGTAAAGCACGCGAAACGTCGGATAAATTTAAAATTATGTTAAATAGTTGTAAATTTATAATAATACATAACTTCAATCCGGTCAAAATAGTGTTTTGTTTTAATTTGCTATTTATCCATTTTTAATTACCTACTATGCAGGTGAAGAATATTGTAAATATATATGTGTGTTGGTAATAAATTACTTTATAGTATTCAGACAATAACATATGGATTAAGTCCCCATTTTATATTATAACGTGTAGAAGCAAAACCATGTACGGAAGCTAATAAGCTGACATGATATGATTTTATCAATGACATGTCTATAAGTCTGACCGCTTTTCTGATAATGATAACATGAGTCAATATATGTTTACATAAAACGTGACAAAGAACTAATAAATTCAGTAGAAGTATGATTAAAATCCATAGCGCTAATATCTGCACCATGAACATACATACACACCCTCTCGTACCCTCACTTTCACACCATCACACAACACACCCGAATTAGGTATTACTTAGTTAAATTTATTATTTAATTTTTCCTTTCGTAAATAAACCTATTTGTATATATTATGTACCCCATCGTTGGCTATATTTTTAGTGTAATTTTTTTGTATGTAATAAATAAGAAAATAAAAAACTGATTTTCAGGCAGATATCTGTATCTGTGCCGTGATATATCATTTTTTTGTTGAGATCAGCTTTCTGATACGTTGATTTTTGCGTGTTGACTGGATGTTTATCTTTCTTCTTCTTTACCGTACGAGCGAGTGTTAAATGCGCACATAGACAGAAAGTCCATAAGTGGACAGCCGGGGTTCAAACGCGTTGTGTGTTCGTTCATAGAGCCACGCTTAAGCCAATATTACTCTTATATTTTCAATAAAGTCGATAAATATATATCCATGCATAATCCAATGATTATCACGTCATTTAACAACTAGAGACAACGGAGACAATTTTAGGCGCGAACTAGTAACCTACACCTGTCAATTCTATGATGACATGACAGATGGTAGTGACATTTAATTTTGTCACCTATAATAATTTATTAACTCTTAAGAATATGTGATATTAATAATCAAAATTTTATTAGAATAGAATTATAATTGAATACTTTTCCAACAAATTGACAGTTCAACAAAAAAGTGTAAAAACATTTTAACGTTGTCTATGGCTTTATCTTATCTGTGCCAGTTTTCTCCGCACTTAAACCATGAATGCATATTCAGCAGTTTTCTTTACTTTCCAAAGCCATATAATAGATGGCGCTACGAGATATGAATGTACGCTTTGGCTCATTGATAATTCTATAAGTTTATAACAACTATTATACATATACTATTTTATATTTATACACAATATAGGTATATTATTCAATGTTCGGTTATCTAAATATAGTAAAATAAATTGTATTTGGTTTACGTTAGTACAACGTTAAATCCTTATTTCCATTTTCTATCGAATTATAAATAATGTTATCAATTCGCGATTATATTCGTTGAAATTACCATAGTGGTCTATATCCACAGGCGACTAACATTACTACTAACATTTAGCTAAAAGTAAATACTTCAACATGCCCTACCACTTAAATGGAGATGGGCACAGAACGTAGACCGTTATACAGATGACAGATGGTCCAAAAGAGTAACCGAATGGAGTAAACTACAAGCTCCCTCCTTATTAGAATGCCAAATCGTAAAGTGACTGCTTCACGACTGATTTGAGCGCGACCGCCGCTGTGAAAACCGCTGTGAGAGTTCGAAAAGTGAGTTACAGAATCGCAAGGCTGGTCCAAAAGGAACAAGGGCAGACCAGAGCGATGGGCTGACGAGATCGAAAGGGTAGCTGGAAAAAATTGGATACAGCATCAAATCAATTTCATTTATACATATAGGTAACACAATGTACACTTATAAACGTCAAAAAAGTATTAAATGCTTCTAATTTTACATTTACTGCCAGTTCTCAAATCAAGGGCGTAGAACGAATTTGTAAGGAGCTGCAACCATTACACCATGTACCACATGACATCTTAAGTATTTAATAGTTAATTAAAAATAAAAACAAAGAGTAGTAAATTTTTCTTTATATCTATTTCGGTTAAATGTCAATAAATGGATGAATAAAGGCTTATTATTATTAATACTAACAACATTTGAGTTGGAAATTAAAGATTATTTTAATTCAGAATTTTATAATGTTACATTAGAATACTTAGAGAAAATCACTCTCGACTACACTTTGTAAGCGTTGCGTAACCCGTCGACGTCATTCCCCCCTCCCCCAACCCCCCGGGCAAGGGGTGGTTGGATATAGGTCGCGGCCAGGCCGCAGACAACCCCCAGACAAGCCTGACGCAAGATGCGAATATTATGACGATCGATATGTTTAGTGTTGACAAAATATGTAAGAAGTATTACTAGCTGACCCGACAAACGTTGTTTTGCCATGTATATTATTTCTAGGAAACATTTTTCTAGTTCAATAAAAATAACTTTCTTCTATAATAAAATATAGGGGTTGATCGTAGAGGGGTGAAATTTAGGGGTTGTATGTATATTTGTATGCTGTATCATAAAAAAATAACAACAAAACATTTTTCTGAAGAAAAAAAACATGGTGTGGACACCCCTTATCACTTGGGGTTTGATAGTAGCCGATTCTCAGACTTACTGAATATGCATAAAAAATTTCATAAGAATCGGTCGAGCCCTTTCGGAGGAGTATGAGAACGAACACTGTGACACGAGAATTTTATATATATTAGAAGATTATAGTACTAATTTATTTCATTACAGTTTATATATATAACAAAAAACATAGGCAAAGTTGGAATACATTATATATACAAAAAGGTTCGTATATTAAAAAATGGGTGATAGTTTTATGTATTTTAATGATAAATATTTGGGATGGGAAACATCTATCACTTGGAGATATAAATAGTTAACAACTAGCTTTTTAAAAATAGCTGTTTATGAATAGCTTAAACTTAATAATAATAATAAATGCCTTTTATTTCAGATACTTCACATTTTCATAGGTAATAAAATTCAAACATTGTGTAAAACAAAAAATGGGGTTTAAAAAGAGCGGCGGAGAGTTTATTGCCAGTTCTTCTCTTCCGTTCTACGCCCTTGATTTAAGAACTGGCAGTAAATGTAAAATTAGAAGCATTTCATATATATTTCTTTTTTGACGTTCATAAGTGTACATTGTGTTACTTACATGAATAAATGATTTTTGACTTTGACTTTGCCACGAGGACTTAATAAAATATACTTTACTAAAAACTGGGTCAAACATATACAAAGCTAACTAAAACATAAAATCTCATTTCCTAAAAGGAAAATAACTTTCTTAACGCCCACGCTTAGAAGCCTTACGAATGACCGAATTTTCCACGAAAGGCTGCATGACATCACCGAACATAGTATTCAATGGCACATATATATCTTATTTACATAGAAAACATCAGAAACGTATATATTATATAACAAATTTTCATTTGTCCTTTTTTACCTTTACAAAAGTAAGTAAGTAATTTTTTATCTGAGTTAGCCTTTCCCACTCTATATTTCCTTGAAATAGATAGATAAAACTTGCACAGGGGGTTTAAACACACGAACTCTAGCTTAGTCACTGAAGTATTTCCGAACCGATTCGACTTAGGGGCGTATCAATTCTTAAAAGATTACTCCCAAGCCCTTTAGCATTAGTGTGACCATGGGCGGTAGATATTTTCGAATTCATACGAAAATCGGGACCTTTAAGAAAAAACGTACCAATTCTTAAAAGGCCAGTAACGGACTCGCGAGTCCTCTGACATGTGTGTTCATGGGCGGTATCACTTAACATCAGTATCTATAAAATTGTAAACAATTTTTTAACTAATTATCAAAAACATAGTAGGTTTAGTTTTCGATGAATAATATAATTTGTATTTTGACTTTGAATTTTTTTATATTAACTCTAAAATAGCAGCCTTAATTTAAAGTGCTTAAGAATTCCATTAAATAACTGAAAAATAATAACGTCCACACGTCGTCCTTAAATGTCACGCCATAACTTGAAATGTCATTTGTCAAATTTATCGGCGATATCCAACATATTATCTTTAGTTATATTATCGTTAGTATATAGTTCTGACAAGCAGAAGCTATGAACTCAGCCAGAGAACAAACGAATTGGTCTACCTTGCTGACCAAGTTGGAGTGTGCCCGCGGAATATCCAACAGTTTTGACTTCCGCCAAATTCTTGCTTGGAACCCTTATATCCACATTATGAACCCGACCCATAAGTAACCTAGATTCACATAACAAGCTTTCTTCTGAGGCCCTGGTCATAACCATGCAAATAGAGTCAGGTACATAAGCGTATACAAAGGATCCACCAGGTTATACAGCAAATCCTCTGTATATCCAAATGACATTACAATTGAGATCGAGCTTGTGGACCAAGGAAATACTTTTCCCGATCAATATTTTCCATTGACGCACCGCTCCTAATATAATAAATTAGTGGCGCTACAACCTCTTTAGGGCCTCAGATTTCTGAATCTGTTTTATGATCATTTTTGACACTTTTTTTGAGTGCCTGACACACGCCGTCGACTGGCCGGCGCTAGATGTGGTTTTGGCCGGAGATTATATCTGTTTCGTGATAATTTTTTTCCTTAATAGGCAAGTAGGCCTTCTGTACCTGACCGATGTTTGGGTCTGAAGCATTCTGGTTTTCTTAATGTTCTCCTTTTCCGTAGGAGTGTTAAGTGTTAACATATTTATTTTTTAACAAATACTTTGGAATATAAACTTACTTTTTACGACCATTTTTTAAGGTCCATGTTCTAAACATGGAATGACATACGTCGTAAAAAATAACGATCGTACGGTAACAATTTGAATAGTAATTGCATGGACTTGTAAAATAAAATAAAAAAATATGTTCATTATGGAATATAAGATACCAAAGCTTGTACATGGTGCTTCTATTCTCGGGAAAATAAATTATCTAAACGTAACTTTGACTATTTAGTGTTATTGGAGAAATGGGTTACTACTACTAATTACATCTTAATAGACATTATGATTAAGATTTAGTAATTATAAAAAGAACTTAAGTTGAAATGGGCGTGGCAGATGGCTAGACGAAGAGAAAAGTGGAGTAAGAAAGTACTAAACTGGTGCCCAAGGTACAATAAACGAAAAAAGAGGATGACAACTTAGAAGGTGGATAGATCAAATTAAAGAAAGAGCGGATGGTACATGACAGAGAGTGCCACAGTGAAGAGAGAAATGGCGGGATTTAGTAGAGACCTAAAAAAAATGATAATGATAACAAATTTAAAAAGTTTGATCCCTACGGCAGTGTACTTTTAATGCTAGCATATCGCTGTATTAGGTTACTATGAAGGTTAAAAATATTGTAAATACTCTATATTTGTGTGTTGGAATTAAGGTTTAAAATACGATGGAGGCAAGAGCAGGCCCTTAATGCCTGATTTGCCTATCAAGTAAGATTCAAGCCAACGCCTGGCTAAATTAAAACAATGTAGAGAAAAAACGTACCAATTCTTAAAACCCTACGAGAATGTAAGTGCGTGCTCCTATTTCACCTTGCCTCCTGATGATTTTTTTTTGCCTCGTGCTGATAGAGGATAAATCTTTGTTTTTAATTTATTATTAATTAACTATTAAATACTTAACATTTCATGTGGAATATGGTGTAAAATTTGCAGCTCCTTACAAACATTGTGTAATACAAAAAACTTGGCGATTAAAAAGAGTGGAGGAGAGTTTATTCTCTTCCGTTCTACGCCCTTGATTTGAGAACTGGCAGTAAATGTAAAATTAGAAGCATTTAATGTATATTTCTTTTTTGACGGTCATAAGTGTACATTGTGTAACCTATATGAATAAATGATTTAGACTTTTGAAAAGGCCGTTAACGCGCAAGCCCTCTGGCATTAAGAATGTCCAAGACTCAAGAGATATGATCTACCATCAGGCGAGCCAGCTCGTTTCGTGTTCTATAACGAAAAACCGATTATGTTTTTCACGTTTGAGCGCAACGAAAATATTTGCTACAGTCAAAACCCTTCCGGTTAGTTTATTGATGGCTTGGTTACTGTCCAATTATCATCAAACGTTGACTCAACCGGATGCCTCTCATAATTCAAAGGAAAAATTTAACGCTTTGTTTTCGTTTTATTGGGAAAAACAAATTCCTAAAATATCTTTAAAAATTTCAGCTGTGAAAAGGCAAGGCTTTGGTAGGAGAATTTATTTATTAACACTTCGTTGCATACAGAACAGGGGGCAAACGGGCAGGAGGCACACCTTATGTTAAGTGGTACCGCCGCCCATGGACACTCATTACCCAGAGGGCTCGCGCGTTGCCGGCCTTTTAAGAATTGGTACGCTCTTTTCTTGAAGGACCCTAAGTCGAATTGGTTCGGAAATACTTCAGTGGGCAGCTTCTACATAGTGGTGGTGCGCGGCAAAAACTGGCTTGAAAAACGCTCAGTTGTGGAACGGCGGACGTCGAGGTGATACGGGTGGTATTTCGTAGTATGCCTCGGCGTCCGATGATGAAACTCAGCTGCAGGTATTAATACTAATTGAAACATAAATTAATTTTAATGTCTTAATTAAATGAAATTTTAGGTGGCAGGAGGCTCACCTGTTGTTAAGTGATCCCAAGTGCGTTGCCGGTCTTTTTAGCTACTGTTAACGTTTGAAAATAAAGTGCAGAATATTTAAATGTTTATGATGAACGACAATTAAGTTTAGAAAGAAACATTGGATTGTTTATCAACAAACTCTGAGGACCTTGAAATCGAAAACATTCCTTTGGTCCTTCGTAGAATTCGTTTCTCAATGGGAATAACAATTTCTTACCTCGGTCACCCTAGATTTTAAAAAATAGGAATTTTTGAACAGCTTAGGTTTAGATTCCATAAAATAATGTGTTGATATAGAACAGTGTTTCGCAACCTTATGTGCCATGGCTTATGCCTAAGTACCATACATAATCTAATACATATATAAAATTCTCGAGTCACAGTGTCAAAATTCAAAAATCATTTATTCACGTAGGTAACACAATGTACACTTGTGATTCGTCATTAAAGAAATACATATTAATGCTTCTAATTTAACATTTACTGCCAGTTCTCAAATCAAGGGCGTAGAACGGAAGAGAAGAACTGGCAATAAACTCTCCGCCACTCTTTTTAATCGCCATGTTTTTTTTACACAACGTTTGTAAGGAGCTGCAACCATTACACCATGTTCCAGATGACATCTTAAGTAATTAATAATAATAACATAAATTAAAAACAAAGACTTGTCCTCTATCAGCAGGAGGCATGGAGAAACAGGAGCACGCACTTACATTCTCGTGGGAACAACACGCAAACACATAGTCGAAATAATTAACATCACCGCATACACGAATTCAAGTACGACCAGTCACCACAAGTAGCACCCGTTCACGAGTATGACGCATGGCCAGCCATCGGCCCCCTCGCCATATTTTAGGGAGGGAGACAACCCGACGCATGGACGCCGTTCCCATACTCCTCCGAAACGGCTGGAGCGATTCTTATGAATTTTTTAATGCATATTCAGTAAGTCTGAGAATTGGCTACTCTCTATCTTTCAAACTTCTAAGTGATAAGGGGTCCGACCCAAAACAAAATTTTTTTTAAACAAATATTTTTGTTTTTATTTTTTTATGATAAAGTATACAAAAATACATACAACCCTTAATTTTCACTCCTCTACGATCAACTTCTATTTTTATTGAACTAAAAAAAAAGTTTTCTAGAAATAATAATATACATGGCAAAACAACGTTTGCCAGGTCAGCGAGTTTTTAATATAAAAATTTGAATTGTTCACTTTAGAAACTTAAATGATAGTAGGAAATTGCTAGGAAATTGTTTACGAAACACAGTAAGTAAATTTTCAAAACATAATGAAAAACATTCCATTTTCAAATTGCCCCGTTAACAATCCAATTGGCCACCTGTGGGGCGTGGGCCCCACTTTGGAAAACACTGATCTAGAGGCTTCAGAGTGTCTCTCATATCTGGGGTCGTAGATTCGATCCCCGGCAATGCAATGCGCTTTCTGATGAAAACCGCCCTTAGACCCAAATAGTCGACGGGGTGTGTCAGGCACAAAAGGTAGATTACCTACTTGCCTATTAGAAATGATCACGGAACTGATACATAAATCTGAGGCCCAGACCTAAAAAGGTTATAGGTCAAAAATTTACGCTAACATTTCAGTAATAAATATAAGATAACTAGCAGACTCGGCCAAGCGTTGGTGTGGCTAAGGTTTTTGTCATATTATATATTAGTAAACTATTCAAGGGAAACGGTAGGAGAACACCAGTCATGGGGATCACCATGCTTTTTTGGTGGTTATGCCATTAAATTGTAGCTTATGTGAAAAGTTGGTACTTTCAACTAAGCGCCATATGTTAGAATTGTGACTGTCAAATAATAAACAAATAAATTGCAATAGAATAATATTGCGGGTATAAATTAAGATGTAAGGTATCCTATCTTTTAAGTTAGATCAAACTACACACGGAGTGCAAATTTGATTGAAATCGGTTAAGTAGTTTAGGAGTCCATAGCGGACAAACAACGTGACGCGTAATTTATATATATTAAGATATAAAAATCTGTTTTAATAACAAGCGCAGGTGCACAGCCAGGGTTCAATCGGACGACCTCCAGGCTGAGATTAACACTGATAAAATAATGTGTGAAATATTTCCACTTTAAGCGTTAGACAATTTCGATCGCCACGTGACCCTGACAGCAAGTTTTTCTTAATATATAACCTTGGAATCGCGTAAATTTGTTGGAGTAGGACGGATTTTAATAGCAAGACCAACACTTGGCTTTTAAGCCTTTAAGAAGATAATTTATAGGTAAGTTTATGAACTACATAAAACTATATACACTAGTATTCTTAAATTACATAGTAATAATAATTAAAACGGAAAATAGAAAAATAAACAAATTTAAAAAAAAAAACATGTGTTAGAAGTTATACTTCTTTGGCGTAACAAGATAAAAATCTTTTTAAAATTTTATCTTTCGCCTTATTCTACGTTTGTAGAAAAAAGGTATTTAATACATTGAACGTTTTATTATAACGCATTATCTAGTAAAATAAAGTTTATTTAAATATCACAAAAATAATATTTCTACATAATTAAAGAAATGAACATTTTTTATATTAAAATATTGACTATGCTAACTTCAGGGTGTCGGTTTTTTGTGACGGTGTGCGCGAGCATCGTAAAAATTTACTCTCATAATTTTTCCCTAACGTGTTTTTGCAACTTTTTCAGTTCTACCCTTGATTTGAGAGCAGCAAATGTATTTAATGTATTGATTTTTTACTGACGTACAAGTGTACAAAGTAGGGAATGATATATTAGTCTAATACGACCTTACAGCAAGTTCAACAATATTTTTTCCTGTCAGCGTCTAGACAGCTGCTAGGTCACGCATACACGTGTACATTATGTAACAATGTTTATAATAACTAGACAGCTGGATAATAACAACCGACTCGATCTATGTGAAGAGGAAAAATTATACATTATATAAATGTCCTTCGGTTTTTTATTTAAACAAAAAAAGGAATATGATTTTGGTTTCATTGAATATGGATATACATATGTACATTTAAAGCACACACAACGAAGTTTTATTTATTAGCAGTAGGCTCTCCTGATGTTAAGTGAAACTGCCGCCCATGGACACTAAATGCCAGAAGCTCGCGAGTGCGTTTCCGGCCTTTTCAGAATTGGTACGGTTACGAACTCTAATTTGAATTGGTTCAATATCAGTGGGCAGCTGGTTTCCACATAGTGGTGGTGCGCGACAAAAACTGCCTAAAATCGCTCACTTGTGACACGACGGACTGCGAGGTGATACGGGTGGAATTTCGTATACCTCGACGTCTGATGATGAAAATCAGCTGTAGGTATTAATCCGACCAACTCCTCTGAGCACTCTCCTTGGTGAAATACGGTAGAAGATGCAGATATGACAAAGCCGCCGTCGCGGTTAAGCTTTTGCGGAATGCGGCATCCTTTACACCTAATTCGCTCACTCTAATGAGCTTCATTGCTGCCGGCTGCTGACGGCTCAAGCCGAGGTCCGAGTCTTGCAGGAGACTTAGGCTAGCGGAAAAAGCCCATTCCGGCTGAGCTAAGCGCACTAAAACAGCCCGAGCTGAGCTATAAAGGGATTCAATTAAAAAACAAAACACTGCCAATGGGTTCTTACTTCTTCGGGTCAGTGGTGTCCGACTGGTCGAGGATCCTACCTTTAGGCTGGAGGAACAGTACACCATTCTTTCTCCAAAATAGATTTATCAGAAGGTTATAAGTCTCAGCGAGTCCCATATAACATTCCACAACAACACGCGCATTACGATAAAAAATCTTTTTTTGCTCTACCCACGCAAGTACCTAATTAATTATATCTCAGAATTGAATGCGCAAAAACCTATTATTTCTATAAGTTCAATCAATTTTCAAATTACAACGAGATGATATAAAGCACTCAGAGTTATGCAGTAACGGTTAATTAGTAATGCTTGCTTTATGTGGGTTTTGTGTATTTTGGCATGATTTTTTGCGATCTACTACTTATAATCGTCATATTTCAGTGAATTTACATAAAACCATAATGGATTATAGACTGAAACGGTCCTCGGTTATGTACAACGCGGTAGAGCTGGACCGCGTTACAGCAAATCGCGTTGTAGTATTCTCGTAAAACCGTTTTTTGAACAATTAAAAACAAGGAACACGAATTTAATATAGTTATTTAGTTTAATTTAACTATTAAATAACATACGAAAACGCGTATAGTATAAGTTTTTTTTAAATAACAGGGGGCAAACGGACAGTAGGCTTACTTTATGTTAAGTGTTACTGCCGCCCATGGACACTCAATGCCAGAGGGTTCGCACGTGCGGTGCCGCATTAAGAATAAATTCACAATAGATAGATCAAAATTAATTTCTTCGTTTATTTTACGAATCTTTTAAGAAACAGAACCTTCACCAGGATTATATATAGGAGCGAGTTAATGCGCACATAGGAAGTCCAGTGCGTGGCTGGGGCTAACCTACGACCTCAGGGATACACTGATACTGAATTCAAATAGCCACGATATCCAAGGTCAAGTCGTCTAAAATCAATTTTATTCAAACATCGACCAATTACAATTCCATTATATAAGGAAATTTGTTTTTATAACTTTTTTTCTAGCGAATTCTATAATCACAATTCTCGGGAAATCCCGTAACGAATTGTAAAATAGTTTAATATAATAGTTAATTTATAACAACAAAAAACTAATCAGTGACGAAATTGTTCATTCTAATCTGTTGTTTACTAGAGTCCTGGGTGGGTTTATTTCAATATTTTGGAAATTAATATAGCAATGGATGGATATAGCATTGTCATAGTGATATTTTCATCATCATCATCCTCTGTTTTTGTTCCAATTGTGGACATAGGCCTCCTGCATCGGCCCCTGCTCTGGCCTCTCTGTATCCAATATTAGTCAACCTCCTTGACGATGTCGTCAGTCCAGTAGTGAGTTTACTATTAAGGACCGATCTGGTCGCCAAACTCCAAAAAGTACATCGTTTCTTGAAGTAGGGCGAATGGAAAAAATATATGGTGGAGTTGAGTCGTTTTTTTATGTATCCATTTTGAAAGATTACACGATTTAAATAACTTCGCTTGATAGAAAAAAAAATCCAAACATAACCAATTTTTGACACTTTGAATTCCTTTTATGACGAACATGATTTTGAAATTTACACGATATATTTTATAGCAAGCCAAGTAATCCATTTCAGAAAACAAAATTGATAAAATTACATTAATTTAATGTTTTAGATAACTACATAATTGTTATTACGGGCCGGCGCGCCTCAGTGCCCCAGCTCTC